GCTCAACGCCTCCACCCCCAGCATCATCAGCAGCTGCCACATCGTCATCAGCGCCATCAGCATATACAGCACCACCAGCAGCAGTGGATACAGCAGCAGCAGTGGCTGCTCCATCATCTTCAGCAGCAGCAGTGGCTGCTCCATCATCTTCAGCAGCAGCAGTGGATACAGCAGCAGCAGTGGCTGCTCCATCATCTTCAGCAGCACCTTCCCCACCTACAGCTCCCGTGAAGCTTCCCCCACTACTCCAGGCTACAGTCGGGCCTGTACTGGGGGTTCCTCAACCACCTCTGTCTCCCTCATCACCTTCCATGGACCCGGCTTGGGTCCCCCCCGCTACATCCACTCCATCTAGGGAAAATGAGGACGACCTTTCCCTTTGTTTTCTATCCCCGCCTTCACTACTGGATTTACCGGAACACTCTGCAGGCATGATAAGATCGGCGATGAAGACTATTCCTCTCACACCCACTGTAGCCAGATCAAGAGTCCTATCTAACATTCAAAACTACTCCCCATACGTACCTCCAAAGCCACCTAGGGCGTCCAACTCAAATTCTCCCACAAAATCCACCCGTCCCTCCTCTAACCCCATAAGTATTCCACCCCCCCCTCCTGCTCATTTAGCCCACCTCCCCCCCTAACTCAGCACCAAGAAACCCTCCACCTCCACTCCCCCCTCGTCCACCACCCAACTCAGCCTGCCCCTCCCCTAACCCATCACCAAAAACCCATCCACCTTCAACCCCTCCCCGTCCAACTCCCAAGAACCACCTGCCTCTCCATCCTCCTCCCCCGCCTTCCCCTTCCCCTCTTTTCTCTAAACACTAGGATGCACAGGGTCTCTGCTTCGCAGCCACTGGCAGTCTAGTTAGAGGAGAGACCCGGCTGGGGCCCTGTCATGAAGCCACCTGTGCCATTCCCTTAGTGATAACACAAAGAATACATAACAGAAAAACATCTGAAGTTAATCAGTCTAATCAGGAAAATCTAATTCTTGTTCCGTGTAAGAATCAGCCGACCACAACCGCTGATCCTGAAACTTTGAAACTTGCTATGCTAAATGTCAGATCTCTTTGTAACAAGTCTTTTTTAATCAATAATTTTATTTGTTCTTATAATCTAGATCTTATGTTCATGGCTGAAACATGGCTTGACCAAAATACAGAAAATGCAGTTTTAATAGAAGCATCACCACCAAATTTCAAATTTGAATCTGAAATACGGGAAAACAAAAAAGGAGGAGGCTTAGCTGCCATTTTCAGAGACCACTTTGTCTCCCATAGAATGTCTCTTGGGAAGTTTCCGTCTTTTGAATATGTGTCTTTTAAAATACAACAAAAACAATCTCCTCCAATACTTTTCGTTGTCCTATACAAGCCACCGCAGTCATGTCACAGTTTTATTGATAATTTTACAGAGTTGCTTTCAGTTGTATGCACAGATTTTGATAGTTTAGTTATTACAGGTGATTTTAATATTCATGTGGATAATGTTGATGACAGAAATGCTAAAGAGCTGAGTTCTCTTCTTGAATCTTTTGGTCTCACTCAGCATGTGAGTGGCCCCACCCACAGCAAAGGGCACACTCTAGACCTGTTAGTTACAAAGGGGGCGAACATTTATAATGTAAACGTGGTCGATGTTGCGCTTTCGGATCATTTTTGTATATTTTTTGACATGTGTTTCACTAACAAACCACCAGTGGACTCTGCAACTGTTCGAAGAAGACACATAAATGAAAATACGGGTGAACTATTTATGGGAATGATAAACTTTGAGAATGCATCGTATTCTACTGTAGATGAACTGTTTAACTCTGTCACCTCTAGTGTTTTGAAAGTTCTGGACACCATCGCTCCTGTGAAGGTTAAAATAGTGAAAAATAAGCAGAAGGCGCCGTGGGCTAAAGCAGACTCGGTCAGGGCACAAAAGAGAGAGTGCCGGAGGGCCGAGCGGAAGTGGCGCAAGTCCAACCTCCAGGTTGATTACAAGATCTTCAAAGATAAGTTGTGCGAGTTTAACCAGGTGCTACGTAGTACGAGAGAAAGGTATTTTTCTGAAATGATTGAAGGCTGCAGCAACAATCTGCGTGTTCTGTTTTCAACAGTTAATAGATTAACAAACCCCCCTGTTCAAATGCCATTAGAGCTTACTTCCAAACGTAAATGTAATGAGTTTGCACATTTTTTCAATGACAAGGTTCAAGGCATCAAAAACGCCATTGTCTCCAATCCACAGATAACCATCCAACAGCCAGAAAGGCTCTCTGAGCTAACTCACTTTGCACCTGTAAATGATCAAACTGTCCAAGAGATAATCTCCAGTTTGAGCTCCTCCACATGCAGCCTGGATGTACTACCCACTAGATTTCTAAAGTCTGTTCTGAGCAGTCTGTTACCTTCACTCACACAGATAGTAAACATGTCCCTTGATTCTGGAATATTCCCAAAGGCCCTGAAAACTGCAGTCATCAGGCCCCTGCTAAAAAAGAGCAGTCTGGATGCTACGGTACTTAACAACTATCGTCCCATCTCAAATCTGCCATTTATGGGGAAAGTCCTTGAGAAAGTTGTCTACCTACAGCTTACTAGATTTCTTATAATCAACAACTCATTTGATATGTTTCAGTCCGGCTTTAGACCCCACCACAGCACTGAGACTGCTCTCGTTAAGGTTACAAACGATATCCGGCTGAACACTGACGCAGGCAAAGTCTCAATCCTAATCCTGTTAGATCTAAGTGCTGCCTTTGATACTGTCGACCATGAGATCCTCTTACAGAGACTAGAGGACTGGGTTGGCGTCGCTGGCACCGCCCTAAGTTGGTTTAGGTCTTACCTTGAAGACAGGAAGTACTTTGTGGAGATTGGAAACTGTGTCTCAGATCATATGGCCCTGACCTGTGGAGTACCACAGGGGTCGATCCTGGGACCTCTTCTGTTCAATCTCTACATGCTGCCGTTAGGTCAGTTAATACGCAGAAACAAAGTTTCCTATCATAACTATGCAGACGACACTCAGATCTATGTCTCACTGACTGCAGGAGAACATGGACCAGTGGACTCACTCCTTCACTGTATCCAACAGATCAGTGAGTGGATGCAAAACAACTTCCTTCAGCTAAACGCAGACAAAACTGAAATGATTGTCTTTGGTCCCCAGAAACAAAGAGAGAGCGTCATCTGTCACCTACAGTCTCTCTCCCTAAAACCTTCTAACAAGGTCAGAAATCTAGGGGTAATACTGGACTCAGACTTAAATTTTAATAGCCACATCAAATCAGTAACATCAGCAGCTTTTTACCATCTAAAAAACATTGCCAGGATCAAAAACATAGTGTCTAAAGCAGACTTGGAGATTCTTATCCATGCATTTGTCTCCAGTAGGTTAGACTACTGCAATGGCCTGCTCACAGGTCTGTCCAAACAGGCTGTAAAACAGCTGCAGTACATTCAAAATGCAGCAGCTCGAGTCCTGACTAGAACCAGGAAGTACGACCACATTAGTCCGGTCCTCAGGTCCCTGCACTGGCTTCCTGTGGCTCAGAGAATAGACTTTAAAACAGCTCTGCTTGTGTACAAATCTCTCCATGGCCTCGCACCAAAATATATTAGTGACATGTTAGTCCCATATGAACCAGCCCGGACTCTGAGGAGCACAGGGACTGGACTCCTGTTAGTGCCCAGAGTCAGAACTAAACATGGGGAGGCTGCTTTTCAGATTCATGCTGCTAAAATCTGGAACAATCTTCCTGAAGATGTGAGACAGGCCTCCTCTCTGACAATGTTTAAAACCAGGTTAAAAACGGTGCTGTTTAGCTGTGCATACAACTGAGGGATTTTATATTTTTATCTTTCGTTTTAATGTTCTGTAATTATTTATGATTTTAATGCTATCTTGTTCAGCACTTTGAGTTGCCTTGTGTATGAATTGTGCTATACAAATAAACTTGCCTTGCCTTGCCTTGCCATGGTGTTGGCAAAGAACTGCTTCCCCCTCCTGAGGCGCCGGATGGTTTGCCAGAATCTCTTTGAGGCCGACCGATAGTCATGCTCCATGGACTCTCCGAACTCCTCCCAGTCCCGGGTTTTTGCCTCTGCAACAGCCCGGGCCGCGGCACTCCCCCCTGGACTGCCACCTTAACGTGGTGGGGGAGTTTGAGTACTCGGATGATCCTGGGAGCTATGCTGTCTGGGGCTTCATGCCCCTGGTAGGGCCTCCCATGGCAGACAGGTCTCAGGTGACGAGTCAGACAAAGAGCAGTCCAGAAGACACCATGGACAGCACAGATATGAGATCAGTGACGTCGCCCGGCATGGCGTATATATGTTAGATAGTCCACAGTCTCCTGTATATCAGGCTCTGAGTCCAAACTGCTTTTCCTTCGAAGCACAAAGCTCTCTGCTCCATAGTGCCTCGTCCATTGTCCCTGCTGCAGCCGCTCCGTGCTTCCTTCCAATACACACACACGGACCAATCACAGCGGAAATTCCTTGCGGCGACCCTTACGTAGTTAGAAAATTTCGATGCTGCGCGGCAGGCGACGTAAGGTAGAGCCCTGCACGGGCCTATTATCTGGGCCCGAGCCCGGCCCTGGCCCGAGGGGGTGGCGCCCCAGCCCGGCCCGGCCCAATATGGTTTCTCAATTTTCAAGCCCGAAACCCGCATCAAGCCCGCCTTTTTTTTTTTTTTTGTAACCTCCCATAACAATGTTTTAGCGTAGTATATAGTGCCGCGCACTGATATGAACGCAGACTTAGCTAGAGGGCGGAGTTATACATGGTAGTGATGTGTTGCAATGAGTTCTGTGTGTGCGGAGTGGTGCAGAGTGAACATCTGTATGATACACAGCTGTATGATGCCCAGATGCTGCAACACACCTGTAAGTAACGCTATGTGCCGTCAATGACAACACTACACAGAACAACAAACACTACAGCGTGATAGAACGCTATATTCAGTGGGTGCGTTCGTAAATGTATTCTGCCGCTCTGAAAATGAAGAGCCCGAGCCCGGCCCGTGTCCGAGGTCATTATGCGGTCATCGGCCCGAAGCCCGGCCCTCGGGCTGTCGGGCCGTCGGGGCCCTCGGGCCAAGGGCTCAAGTGCAGGGCTCTAACGTAAGGGCCTTGCGGTGACCAACGCGTTGCGCAAGTGACGTCACGTCACCTCCCTAAGCTCCGCGCGAGTATAAACTAGGCTTTACTCTTTGCTTTAGGCATGTTGCTGTTTCCTCTGGCGTCTGCACACGGCCCTGCAGTGCCTTATATGGGCATTAATGGGCGGTTACCTATGCTAAGTACCTATGCTAATGAAGCACCGGGCACGCGCGCTCTACTTACGAGGAGTTGGTATTCATCAATCTGAGAGAACAGCTGCAAACAATTCAGCGACTTACGAGTGCGTTGATGAATTCCACGTAGGGTCTTCTTAGAAATCTCCTGAAGAACGACTTGAAGAAATTTAAGAAGTTTCTTACGAAGTTATTCGTGAATGAGGCCCACTGTCCTTTGTTGCTATAAATGTTCAAATGTGATGGTTTTCATGAACACAAACAAACACACACAGCCTAAATAAATAAACAGGAATATACAGCAATAATGATTTGAAACAAGCACATTTACCCAAAATGTTCAAAAGACTAACTCATCAAATTAATGTAGTATCATCTTGTTATTCGCCTTGGTTTACAATACAATACAATACAATTTATTCTTGTATAGCCCTAGGTCACAACAGAAGTCATCTCAGAGGACTTAACAAAACCATTGAAATCACCAACACAGGTCAGAGAATCAACAGTTAAAACACATGAAGAATACAGTATAAAGCACACACAGAAGAAAATGTCCATACATGTTGTAGAATGCTAAAGTGTCCTGATCATCACCAATCCTTTCTGTTGGACACTAACTGTCCAACAAGACCCTCCTGCATCGACAAGGTAAAACTCTTAAAAAACCCAGTGGGAAAAAGTGAGAAACCTTGGAGGAGAACTAGGGAAACCCACAGGGAGGGAGACCCATATGAGAAAGGGATCCGCTCCTCCGGACGGACAGACTAATGATCCAGGACCTAAGCTAGCTACAGAACGTGGACCAGTGGACGCTGAACGTGGACAGGTCCGGTGCAGGACTGAAGCACTCCCAGGCGGGTCGGGCGGGGCAGTCCGCAGGTGTAGATGGAAGAGGCCAGGCTCAGAGATCCCGTCATCGTACCATGAAACAGACAATGGGACAACGGGTGAATAGCAATGAACAAACTACAGTCAGAATCCTAAAAATGCTAAACAGATAAAGTAGGAAGGAGGAGAGGATAGTGCTCAAGTTACCATACTTCTCCCAGCAAACTGACTCCCTATGCAGCTTGACTAACACTCTGAGGAGTTTAACCTTCTCCGAGTCTTACCTTCCTAGCCATATGCTAAACTAAAGAGGACTGTTTTAAACCTAGCCTTGAATAAAGAATAACATACAGCATAATATATAACATAATATACAACATAACACAATACATTATTGAATAATATATAACATAATATATAACATAATACAGCATATATATATAATATATACACTACATATTATATATTACCTAATTATATGCTAAATTAAAGTAAAGTGCTTTAAGCCTGGCCTTGAATGTGGAGACCGTATCTGCTTCCTTAACATAAATGGGAAGCTGATTCCACAGTAAAGGAGCTTGGTAGCTAAATGCTCTGCCACCAACAGTGACCTTTGAGACCTTAGGGACCACCAGACGTCTGGCGTTTTGTGAGCGCAACGCTCGACCTGGTTGATACGACACTAACGTGTCTTGGAGATAAGAGGGAGCCAAGCCATTTATGGCTTTATATGTTAAGAGTAGGATTTTAAACTTTATTCTGTACTCCACAGGGAGCCAGTGGAGTGATTTTAACACCGGAGTTATGTGCTCCCTCCTTTTGGTACCTGTTAAGATCCTAGCTGCTGTATTCTGAACGAGCTGGAAGCTCTTCAAAGAGGCTTTAGGGCACGCTGCCAGTAAAGCGTTACAGTAGTCGAGCCTTGAGGTGACAAACGCGTGAATGAGTTTTTCCGCGTCACTTTTAGGAAGGAAATTCCTAATTTTAGCGATGTTCCGTAAGTGGAAGTACGCCGTTTTAGTTGCTTGGCTTATATAAGCCTTGAAGGAGAGTTCTTGGTCAAAAATGACTCCAAGATTCCTCACAGTGTTACTGGGTATTATACTGACATTATCGAGAGTAACCATCTGGTTAGTGAGGGAGTCACGCAGGCGCTTCGGACCGAGTAGGATCACTTCTGTCTTCTCCGGGTTGAGAAGTAGGAAGTTAAGAGTCATCCACATTTTAAGGTCCTTTATGCAGGCACTGAGCTTTTCTAGCTGATCTGTCTGATTAGGCTTCATCGACAGATAAAGCTGTGTGTCATCTGCATAGCAGTGGAAATTAATTCCATGCTTTTTAATAATGTTTCCCAGTGGCAGCATGTAGAGAGTAAAAAGAATCGGTCCGAGTACCGAACCCTGCGGCACACCGAATTCCACTCCAGAATAAGGCGACGAGTCCTGATTCACATTGACGAAGTGATATCGATCTGATAAATAGGATTTAAACCAGCCAAGGGCTGTTCCTCTAAGACCTATATCACATTCTAGCCTCTGCAGTAGAATGCTGTGGTCTATTGTGTCAAATGCAGCACTAAGGTCTCATTACAATCCATTCATTAGAAATCCCATATCAACCTGTTAGATTCATGTTATCAACCGATAGACCTGCTGAAAGCTACGCCTGTCTTTACCTCAGTAAAATGACGCATGCACAGACCAACTGACAGAGCAACTGACAGAGCACATAACTCGTCAGAACACCGGATGTATCATGTGCATTTTTCACAGTGGGGGAGGGTCCCAGCTCAAAAGTGGCCAAAATGATGTGCGCTGACATGCTGCAATACCACCCCCGGGCCGATGGGGGTGGACCCAGAAGAAGAATTAGCCAATGCTAACATATAGCATTGGCAGACCTCTCAAAAACGTCTTTACAGGATGGACCAAAAGTTGTCTCTTGGCCCAAAGCTTCGTTCCACATGTGTGTCAATGCTGAGGGGGGTGGATTTTTTGGTCCACTCTAGTTTACTCGCAGGAAATTTTTGAAGTCTCTCGTTCAAATGAATGGAGCTCTTGCCGGCTGATGCATGCGCAGATGCGTTTTTTCACAATTTTCTTGTGGGCGGGACCACTCGCAGCCATTTTGGATTGCTCCATGAAAGCACTTTTCATGGCCAACTCCTATGAACGGCGGAGATAGGCGTGACTCTGTCCATTAATATATACAGTCTATGATTTTTCACCATTGAATTTTTTCTCGTTGAATTTTGACTGTTGAATTTAACATTATGAAATTGATAATCAGTGACTATTCACAGAAAAAAATATTCAAGATGTTAAAAATATTCAAATAGATAAATTCAGGTCCATTTAAAATTCAATTTCTGATGGAACAAATAATCCGTCTTTTTTTATTTTATTTAAAAAAAAAATTGAATATTTTGAAGGTGAAAATGTCATTTTGAAATTTTAATCACATTGAAATTTGTAAACTGAATTATTAGTGATTGAAATGCAAAGATAAAAATATTCAAACATGCTTTTTCAGGGTTAAAAATTTCAAATGGAAAAATTCATGCTAAAAAAATTCAATATCTGATGACACAAAAAATCTTCCATATTTTATTCCATTTTAATTTGTCTTTTCTCTGAGTGTGAAATTCAAAGTACCACGTCTCTCCTCTAGGTGTCTCTGTGAGCAACTTAAGCGACAACTTCCTGATCCTACACGTCACATCTGATGACGCCAAGCAAAATGACAACAAGCAAAAGGTTTGTATCCTCTGGGACTGAGGCTAGACCCAAGACTGAGGCTGTAGACCCAGGACTGAGGCTGTAGACCCAGGACTGAGACTATAGACCCAGGACTGAGGCTGTAGACCCAGGACTGAGGCTGTAGATCCAGGACTGAGGCTGCAGACCCAGGACTGGTTCATGTGTCTTTCCTGTTGTGTTCAGGGAGACCTCGTTCTACAGTGTGACTATCTGTTTGAGGCTTTGACCAAGTTGTGTGTGATCGCCAAGAAGCCGGACTGTATCCAGGTCGTACAGGGCAGGTGAGAACTCTACTCTACTCTACTCTTTCTGGTTGTGTTTTCTTTTTGCTTAGTTTCTAGTACTGTGTTCGAACAACCGCCCCACAACAAACCAGTATCCAGGGAAATTCCTTGGTAACCATGGCTTCCAGCAGCACTCTGACCTATCACTGTCAGTTAGAACAATTTAGAACCAGCTCGGCCTGGATAGAACCAAGACCAAAAGGGACTAAATATGGTACTGGTTGCACAGGACCAGAGGAAAAACTCCCAATCAGAGTAGAGTATAGTAGAGTAGAAACAGGCCTACAGAGATGTATCTTCCTGAGTATAGTATGAATAAAATACGAATAGAGTATGAATAGCATATGAATAGCATATGAATAGCGTATGAATATCATATGATTACAGTATGAATAGAGTATGAATAGAGTATGGATAAAGTGTGAATGGAGTGTGAAGAACGTATGAATAGAGTATGAATAACGTATGAATATCATATGATTACAGTATGAATAGAGTATGAATAGCGTATGAATATCATATGATTACAGTATGAATAGAGTATGAATAGCGTATGAATATCAGATGATTGCAGTATGAATAGAGTATGAATAGTGTATGAATATCATATGATTACAGTATGAATAGAGTATGGATAAAGTGTAAATGGAGTGTGAAGAACGTATGAAAAGAGTATGAATAGCGTATTAATAGCATATGAATAGAGTATGAATAGCGTATGAACAGAGTATGAATAAAGCATGAATAAAGCAGATAACTGATTGTGGTGCAGTGTTCGGTTCGACATCCATCCCGGCAGAGAGGGCTTCGTGGACTTCAAAAGTGGCCACGAGGCGATGGTCTACAGAGCGAAGAACGGACACTTGATGGTTGTGAGTCCAGTTCAATACAGACCATGTGGTTCAGAGTCACGACATTAACTGTGTATTTGTAAAACCAGTTTTCATTTCAGGAATCAAGAACCAAATCCAGAATATAAATCATTTGTTTCACCTGAGGGAGTTGCCAAAAGGGAAGAAGATTCTCTCGAGTTAAAGTCACAGTAAATGCCATAAGTCTCCAATACCTCAGTGTTCCATGTGAATAAATAACATACTTTCAGCTTTCTACTTTTGGTGTTTTACTGTATTCTCTGTCGTAAACTGTAATTTGACATAATATTGAAAGGATTCTGCAGGTAAAAACATTGCTACTGATCAACATACTGTAGGCTGTAATTAAACAATACTAACCTGGTAGCTCAATGCTAAACCACCAGCTCAATGCTAACCAGGTCCCGGTGATCCAAGATGGCAGAACTTGCTTACATGATTCGTCAAATTCCTATCCAGATTTTATCATAGATCCACGATACAGATGGACAATGCTAACCCGCTAGCTCTACGAAGCCCAGTAGGGAAGTGCTCATTGACAAGTTTGGCTCTGGCTCCTATTGTCTTACATTGAAGACCCTGGACTTGCTAAGGAAAGCTGGGGTGTCTCGGGTGAGAATAAAGGCCTCTGATTGGTCAATGGTTATATGGCTCATATCTGGATTTACAAAAATACTATCACAATATGAACACCAGGGTCACAGAGAGCGCTAAACCACAGATCAGTGAGAGACCAGAGACAAGAGGGACCAGAGGGAGACCACAGAGAGAGAGACCAGAAAGACACATGAAAGAGTCCGGAGAGAGACCAGAGAGGGATCAGAGAGAGAGACCAGTGAGAGACCAGTGAGAGGCCAGAGAGAGACCAGAGAGAAACTAGAGAGAGAATGGAGAGAGACCAGAGAGAGACCAGAGAGGGATCAGAGAGGGATCAGAGAGAGAGACGAGAGAGAGACCAGAGAGAGACCAGAGAGGGATCAGAGAGAGAGACGAGAGAGAGACCAGAGAGAGACCAGAGAGAGACCAGAGAGAAACCAGAGAGAAACTAGAGAGAGAATGGAGAGAGACCAGAGAGAGACCAGAGAGGGATCAGAGAGGGATCAGAGAGAGAGACGAGAGAGAGACCAGAGAGAGACCAGAGAGGGATCAGAGAGAGAGACGAGAGAGAGACCAGAGAGAGACCAGAGAGAGACCAGAGAGAGACCAGAGAGAAACCAGAGAGAAACTAGAGAGAGAATGGAGAGAGACCAGAGAGAGACCAGAGAGAAACCAGAGAGAAACTAGAGAGAGAATGGAGAGAGACTAGAGAGAGACCAGAGAAAAACCAGAGCTCAAAATGGTGAGTGTGACACAAACATAAACTGAGCTAGAGGAGTTTACGTTTACATTTCAGTAACACAGAGAGGGAAGCCAAACTTCACCACGAGCACTTCCCCATTAGGCTTTGTTGAGCTAGCGGGTTAGCATTGTCCATTTGTAAACACGGGCTATTTGTGAAACAGACAGAAGGTGGAGTCCTGAAACTTATCCAGAGGTGAAGGACTGTTCAAATCCACAACACAGACAAAAACAACACAAATTAAGGAAATGTTTGTTAATCTTAAATACAGTTTAATATATTTACTCAGGTCCATTTGCTCCTGACACACATAGATACAGAGAGACACATTACAATGTTTTTCAGGCTATGATAAGTCGTCCTTGGGGTAATTTCATTGGATGATTAAAGATAAGAACCTCTTGACTTACATTTATGAAGCATTTAAAGGTGTTGATAGGGAGTAAATGATTGACAGCCGCCGGCCAAAGGGTAGAGAGAGACTTTCTGCAAAACCCACAGAACAGACACGGATTTACTCATGGACTCGTCTGCTCTGATCCTGCTCCTGCTGCTGGGTCTGTGCGGCGTACACGGTGAGTCCAGGACCAGAGGGAGACCAGAGGGAGACCAGAGGGAGACCAGAGGGAGACCAGAGGGAGAGCAGAGGGAGACCAGAGGGAGGGCAGGGGGAGACCAGAGGCAGACCAGAGAGAGACCAGAGAGAGACCAGAGAGAGACCAGAGAGACACCAGAGAGAGACCAGAGAGAGGGCAGAGAGAGACCAGAGAGAGACCAGAGAGAGACAAGAGGGAGACTAGAGAGAGACTAAAGACCAGAGAGAGAGACCAGAGACAGGGACTAGAGGTAGAGACCAGACAAAGAGCAGAGAGAAACCAGAGAGAGACTATAGAGAGACCTGAGAGGCCAGAGACCAGAAAGGAGACCAGAAGGAGACAAGAGGGAGACCAGAAGGAGACCAGAGGGAGACCAGATGGAGAACAGAGGGAGACCACAGACCAGAGGTAGAGACCAGAGAGAGAGACACCAGAGGGAGAGACCAGAGACCAAAGAAAGACCAGAGAGTGAAAAGAGACCAGAGGTAGAGAGAGTGAACATAGACTAGAGAGAGATCAGAGACTAGGAAGAGACTACAGAGGCCGTAGACTAGAGAGGAAACTGAGACCAGAGGGAGAGACCTGAGAGAGCAGAGAGAGAGTGAACATAGACTAGAGACCAGAGACTAGGAAGAGAGACCAAAGAGAGAACAGAGAGAGTAGAGAATCCAAAAAGAAGCTAGGGTTAGTTAGGGGAGATACCAGAGAAGAGTCCCCAGAGGGAGAGACCAGAGAGCCAGAGGGACCAGGGGGAGTCCAAAGATAGAGAGACAGCGAGTGAGAGACCAAACGGATAACTGTTTCCAGGTCAGAGCTGTCAGGGCAGATGTGGCTCCGTCGGCCTGTGCTCCTGTGAGCCGACCTGTGAGTCTCTGAGGAACTGCTGCCCCGACTACAGAAACTTTTGCCTCCAGACTCAGCCTTATTCCGGATCCATCTTTGGAGGCAAAGACTTCCTCATTCTGCACGCAACCTTCACCAAGATCGACAGCATCGTCTGCAGGTGAAACTGTTTTTTTAATCTGTAATAGACTCATGAAAACTTTACACTGGCCCATGGTTTATGGCAGGGGTGATATTTCTCTCTGTCTGGTCTCTCGCTAGTCTCTCAGTTCTCTCTATGATCTCTCTCTGGTCTCTCTCTGGCCTCTCTCTCTGGTCTCTCTCTGATCTCCCTCTGGTCTCTCTCCGGTCTTTCTCTTGCCTCTCCCTGGTCTCTCTCTCTGGTCTCTTTCTGATCTCCCTCTGGTCTCTCTCTGGCCTCTCTCTCTGGTCTCTCTCCGAAGAAGTAGCGCCGTGTTTTAAGGCTGTAAAACCCTTTCTCTCTCTCTGGTGTTTGGTGGAGAGAGAGAGAGGGACCAGAGAGAAACCAGAGAGAGAGAGAGACCAGAGAGAGGGAAGCTTTGGTTTCCCCCTACAATGAAGGCCTCTGATTGGTCGGTTGTTATGGGTCATATCTGGATTTACAAAGACAATATCACAATACAAACACCTGGATCACAGAGAGCGATAAACCATGTTTTTCTCTCTCTCTGGTCTCTCTTTCTAGTCTCTCTCTGGTCTCGCTCTGGTCTCTCTCCGATCTTTCTCTGGTCCCCCTCTGGTCTCTCTCTGGTCTCTCTTTGGTCGCTCTCTGGTCTCTCTCTGGTCTCTCTCTGGTCTCTCTCTGGTCTCCCTCTGGTCTCTCTGGTCTCTCTCTGGTCCCCCTATGGTCCCCCTCTGGTCTCTCTCTGGTCTCTCTCTTGTCTCTCGCTGTCCTCTCTCTGGTCTCTCTCTAGTCTCTCTCTCGCCCCACCTCTGGTCTCTCTCTGGTCTCTCTCTGGTCTCTCTCTAGTCTCTCTCTGGTCTTTCTCTAGTCTTTCTCTCGTCCCCCTCAGGTCTCTCTCTGGTCTCTCTCAGGTATCTCTCAGGTCTCTTTCTGGTCTCTCTCAGGTCTCTCTCAGGTCTCTCTCTGGTCTCTCTCTGGTCTCTCTCTAGTCTCTCTCTGGTCTTTCTCTGGTCTCTCTCTGGTCTCTCTCTGGTCTCTCTCTCGTCCCCCTCAGGTCTCTCTCTGGTCTCTCTCAGGTCTCTTTCTGGTCTCTCTCTGGTCTCTCTCTGGTCTCTCTCTGGTCTCTTTCTGGTCTCTCTCTGGTCTCTTTCTGGTCTCTCTCTGGTCTCTCTCTCGTCCCCCTCAGGTCTCTTTCTGGTCTCTCTCTGGTCTCTCTCTGGTCTCTCTCTGGTCCCCCTCTGGTCCCCCTCTGGTCTCTCTCTGGTCTCTCTCTGGTCTCTCTCTGGTCCCCCTCTGGTCCCCCTCTGGTCTCTCTCTGGTCTCTCTCTGGTCTCTCTCTCTGGTCTCTGTTTAAGTCTTTGCTGTTCCTCAGATTTGGAGGCAGTATTGACACCGTGGGCTTCGTGGATGAGTCCAGTCGGGCTCACTGTGTCTCTCCGCTCCTTTACCGAACAGGATGGGTTCCTTTCACCGTCTCCAACGACAACGGCACCAGTTTCCCCAGAGCCGGCAGATGGCTCGCAGGTACACACTGGTACACACTGGCACACACTGGCACACACTGGTACACACTGGTACACACTGGCACACACTGGTACACACTGGTACACACTGGCACACACTGGTACACACTGGTACACACTGGCACACACTGGTACACACTGGTACACACTGGCACACACTGGCACACACTGGTACACACTGGCGCACACTGGCACACGCTGGTACAGACTGGTACACACTGGTGCACACTGGCACACACTGGTGCACACTGGTACACACTGGTACACACTGGTACAGACTGATATAGACTGGTACACACTGGTACACACTGGTACACACTGGCACACACTGACACACACTGGCCCACACTGGTACACACTGGTACACACTGGCACACACAGGTCCACACTGGCACACACTGACACACACTGGCACACACTGGCCCACGCTGGTACACACTGGTACACACTGGCACACAGGTCCACACTGGCACACACAGATCCACACTGGTACACACTGGTACAACAGTAACAGTAGTGACTCTAAGCACCGGTCCACAGTCCACACAGGGAAGCTTGACTCGAAGCTGAAGGCAGTTCTGGTCAATGCCACCAGATGGCAGTATTACGGCACACCAGGAGTGACTGGAGCTCTGCAGATGACCTGGGACCCCTCCATGGTCCAGGGTCACAGCGTCAACGTAGAGCTGTGGGGGTACAGAGAGACCGGTGAGAGAAACTCTACTCTGCTCTGCTCTACTCTACTCTACTCTACTCTACTCTATACTCCACTCTACTCTACTCAAATCTACACTACACTACTCTACAATTCTCTGCTCTAATCTATTCTACTCTACCCTACCCTACTCTACTCTACTATACTCTACACTACACAACTCTACAATTCTCTGCTCTACTCTATTCTACTCTACTCTACTCTACTGTACCCTACTCTACCCTACTCTACTCAAATCTACACTACACTACTCTACAATTCTCTGCTCTGCTCTACTCTACCCTACCCTACTCTACTCTACACTACACTACTCTACAATTCTCTGCTCTACTCTATTCTTCTCTACTCTACTCTACTCTACCCTACCCTACACAACTCTACAATTCTCTGCTCTACTCTATTCTACTCTACTCTACCCTACTCTACTCTACTCTACACTACACAACTCTACAATTCTCTGCTCTACTCTATTCTACCCTACTCTACTATACTCTCCCCTACCCTTCTTTTCTCTACTCTACACTGCACTACAATACTCTACTCTTCTCTGCCCTACTCTACCCTACTCACCTCTACACTACTCTACTCTACTCTACACTACTCTGCTCTACTCTACCCTACTCTACTCTACTCTACTGTTGTCCTGAGATAATCATGTGACGTTCTTCATACTGTGTTCCTCCAGGGGTGGCCTACTCCAATGACTGGGAGGCCGAGTGGAAGTATCTCTACACTCTTTGTAAGCTTCATCCCAACAACGGCTCGTTCAGCTTCGTGCCTGTTCCCGCAACCGCAGCCGCCCCAGACGTGTGGGAGCTCGGGATGCTGCGTATCAGCTCTAGCGAGCATAAGGATGGAGAGTGGTGTGTACTCTGGTTTCTCTCTCTGGTCTGTCTCTGGTCTGTCTCTGGTCTCTCTCTGGTCTCTCTCTGGTCTCTCTCCAGTCTCTCTTTCTGGTCTCTCTCTGGTCTCTCTCTCTGGTCACTCTCTGGTCTATCTTTGGTCTATCTTTGGTCTCTCTCTTGTCTCTCTCTGGTCTCTTTCTGTTCTCTCTCTTGTCTCTCTGGTCTCTTTCTGTTCTCTCTCTTGTCTCTCTGGTCTGTCGCTGGTCCCTCTCTCTGGTCTCTTGCTGGTCTCTCTCTCTGGTCTCGCTCTGGTCTCTCTCTGGTCTCTCTCTCTGGTCTCGCTCTGGTCTCTCTCTGGTCTCGCTCTGGTCTCTCTCTGGTCTCTCTCTCTGGTCCCTCTCTCTGGTCTCTCTCCGGTCTCTCTCTCTGGTCTCTCACTGGTCTCTCTCTCTGGTCTCTCTCTCTGGTCTCTCATCAAATCCTCAACTTTTCAAATGATGTTTTTCCTTATTTCACTGACCAAACCAAACAGGAATGTAGAATCCATCTGGACCGAGGACCACGCTCTGGCCTGGCAGCTGGACGAGTCGTTCAGAGCAGATTCTGCATCCTGGGCGGAGGAGAAGTGTCTAGCCTGGGACCAGTACGAGAATAATCTACCAAACTTCCTCCAGGAGATCGTCGACTGTCCCTGTACGCTAGCTCAGGCCCGCGCAGATACCGGCCGCTACCATGTGAGTCACACGGACCATGTGACCATACAGGACACTGACACATGTCTATGGAAGGACAATGCTAACACGCTAACTCAATGCTAAACTGCTAACTCAATGCTAACCTGCTAGATAAATATTAACACGGTTGCTCAATGCTTACCGGCAAGCTCAAGGGGAACCTACAAGCTAAATGCTAACCCAAAAGCTCAATGAAGCCCAATAGGGAAGTGCTCATGGTGAAGTTTGGCTCCTCACATGTAAAAGGAAACTCCTCTGGCTAAGTATCCGTTTGTGTTACACTCACCATTTCGGATCTGCGGTTTAGTGTTATCGTCTTTGTAAATCCAGATATGAGCCATATAAGGACGGACCAATCAGGAACTGTCATTCGCAGGAAACTTACCTTAGCAACCGTCTTAGCAACATGTCTGCAGAATAAATGTAGAGTACTATCGGAGGTTTGTGTCTTCCTTCAGACGGACTACGGCTGTGACATAGAGAAAGGCAGTGTCTGCACCTACCACCCTGGGAGTGTCCACTGCGTCAGAGCCATCCAGGCCAGGTCAGTCCTGAGAGAGAGACCAGAGAGAGAGACCAGAGACAGAGACCAGAGAGAACAGAGAGAGACAAGAGAGAGAGACCAGAGAGAGAGACCAGAGAGAACAGAGAGAGACAAGAGAGAGAGACTAGAGAGAGAGAGAGAGACCAGAGAGAGAGACCAGAGAGAACAGAGAGAGACCAGAGAGAGAGACTAGAGAGAGAGAGAGAGACCAGAGAGAGAGACCAAAGAGAGAGACTAGAGAGAGACCAGTCTCTCTCTAGAGAAAGAGACCAGCAAGAGAGACCAGAGAGAGAGACCAGAGAGAGAATAGAGAGAGACAAGAGAGAGAGACTAGAGAGAGAGAGAGAGACCAGAGAGAGAGACCAGAGACAGAGACCAGAGAGAACAGAGAGAGACAAGAGAGAGAGACTAGAGAGAGAGAGAGAGACCAGAGAGAGAGACCAAAGAGAGAGACTAGAGAGAGACCAGTCTCTCTCTAGAGAAAGAGACCAGCAAGAGAGACCAGAGAGAGAGAGACCAGAGAGAGACTAGAGAGAGAGCAGAGAAAGACCAGACAGAGAGACTAGAGAGAGAGCAGAGAGAGAGAGACCAGAGAGGGACTAGAGAGAGAGAGAGATTAGAGAGAGAGACCAGGGAGAGAGACCCTAGACAGCCGTTACATACAGTACATGTCTCTCTCTAAACTACACTTTCCCTCCGATAGCCCTAAGTACGCAGCTGGACAGCAGTGTTGCTATGACGACAGAGGCGCTCAGGTCCTGACCGGAGACTCTATCGGGGGCAGCACTCCGGACCGAGCCCACGACTGGGGCTCGCCTCCGTACCAGAGACCCCCCCGCGTCCCGGGACAGTCCCACTGGGTTTACGACGTCCTGAGTTTCTACTATTGCTGCCTCTGGTCCGACAACTGCAGCTACTACTTCAAACACCGTCCGTCCAGCGGCTGCGTGAAGTACGATACTCCCAAATCAGGTGGGTCCAGTAAGCTAGCTCCTCCGGCAAGCTAGCTCCTCCGGCAAGCTAGCTCATGTTCAAATCAGCTTCTTCCGCATTAAGGCTAGCGGCTAACCCAACTGCAGGAAACTAAAAACCTGGTGAAGAATATCTGAGAAGACACTGAAAATAGCACTTTTCTGTACCTGGTGGTTTAAAAAGTTTTAACAGTTTCTAAACCTGGTCTAAACTTGGTCTAAACCTGGTCTAAACTTGGTCTAACCCTGGTCTGAACGTTGTCTTAACAGGATCTATATCTGGTCTAAAGCTGGTCTTAAGCTGGTCAAAAACCTGGTCTAACACTGGTCTAAACCTGATCTATATGTAGTCTTAACAGGATCTAAAACTGGTCTAACCCTGGTCTAACCCTGGTCCAGCCTTGGTCTAACCCTGGTCCACATCTGGTCTACAGCTGTGGTGTTTGGAGACCCTCACTTCCTCACCTTTGATGGTCTCAGTTACTCGTTCAATGGAAAAGGAGAGTACACTCTGGTCTTTGCAGAGTCCCACAACCTCACGATCCAAGGCCGGACTGAACCGGTCTCAGGTCAGTCCAGAGTCATGTACAATGAGAATGATAAATACTGTAATGGTGTCTTCTTCCATGGTGTTTCAGACAGGATCAAAGCCACGAAGGTGACGGCGGTGGCCATGAGAGAAACCTCCTCCGATGTCATTGAGGTGCGGATGGTCGGAGATCCCAAACATCTGGAGGTTCTGCAGAATCAGGAAAAACTATCGTTCTCCGAGCAGAGCTGGATGGACCTGCACGGTGAGAACAGCTACATGTTGGTCTCTCTCTGTTATCTCTCTCTGGTCTCGCTTTCTGTTCTGTCTGTGGTCTCTCTTGCTGCTCTCTTTTTTTTCTCTCTGGTCTCTCTCGCTGTTCTGTTTGTTCTCTCTCTGTTTTCTTTCTGGTCTCTCTTTCTGTTCTTCCTGTGGTCTTTCTCACTGCTCTCTGGGCTCTCTCTCTCTCAGGTTTCTCTTTCTGGTCTCTCTCTGGTCTTTCGCTGGTCTCTCTGGTCTCTCTCTGGTCTCTCTCTGGTCTCTCTCTGGTCTCTCTCTGATCTCTCTCTGGTCTCTCTCTGGCCTCTCTCTGGTCTCTCTCTGGTCTCTCTCTCTTGTCTCTCTCTGGTCTCTCTCTCTGGTCTCTCCATGGTCTCTCTCTTGTCTCTCTCTGGTCTCTCTCTCTGGTCTCTCCATGGTCTCTCTCTTGTCTCTCTCTGGTCTCTCTCTCTGGTCTCTCCATGGTCTCTCTCTGGTCTCTCCCTCTGGTCTCTCTTTGGTCTCTCCCTGGTCTCTCTCTGGTCTCTCTCTGGTCTCTATTTGGTCTCTCTCTGGTCTATCTCTGGTCTCTCTGGTCTCTCTCTGGTCTCTCTCTGATCTCTCTCTGGTCTCTCTCTGGTCTCTCCATGGTCTCTCTCTGGTTTCTCTCTGATCTCTCTCTGGTCTCTCTCTCTGGTCTCTCTTTGGTCTCTCCCTGGTCTCTCTCTGGTCTCTCTTTGGTCTCTCTCTTGTCTCTCTCTGGTCTCTCTTTGGTCTCTCTCTGGTCTCTCTCTGGTCTCTCTCTCTGGTCGTTCTCGGACATGACCACTGTACATGTATTTTATGACTCTGAAAGTTCAGTATCCCAGCTTTAAATAGTAATAAAACACTACATCTCCTATACTCGAGTAGAAGTAACAAGGACATTTGTGGTCCCTCCAGGGGTCCTTGTGTTCTCTCCCGTCTCCACCAACGTGACCGTGATGTTTCCCAGCGGCGCCGGCGTGGAGGTGCGTCTCCGTGGCGATAACATGGCAACCACGGTGCTCGTGCCGCAGGAGTTCTTTAACAAAACGCTGGGGCTGATGGGAAAACTGAACGGAAACTCCATCGATGACCTCACGCTTCCCAACGGTCACAGCGTACACAACCTCAGCAACCCAGAAGAAGTATTCAACTTTGGAGCTAACTGTGAGTGAGACCAGAGAGACCAGAGAGAGACCAGAGAGAGACCAGAGAGAGACCAGAGAGAGACCAGAGGGAGAGACCAGAGGGAGAGACCAGAGAGAGACCAGAGAGAGACCAGAGAGAGACCAGAGAGAGACCAGAGAGAGACCAGAGAGAGACCAGAGGGAGAGACCAGAGGGAGAGACCAGAGAGAGACCAGAGAGAGACCAGAGGGAGACCAGAGGGAGACCAGAGAGAGAGACCAGAGAGAGACCAGCTGGACACCAGAGAGAGACTAGAGAGAGGCCAGAGAGAGAGAAACCAGAGAGAGAGAGCGACCACAGAGCGACCAGAGAGAGACCAGAGAGAGACCAGAAAGAGACCAGAGAGAGACCAGAGAGAGACCAGAGGGAGAGACCAGAGGGAGAGACCAGAGAGAGAGACCAGAGAGAGACCAGAGAGAGACCAGAGAGAGACCAGAGAGAGACCAGAGAGAGACCAGAGGGAGAGACCAGAGAGAGACCAGAGAGAGACCAGAGAGAGACCAGAGAGAGACCAGAGGGAGACCAGAGAGAGAGACCAGAGAGAGACCAGCTGGACACCAGAGAGAGACTAGAGAGAGGCCAGAGAGAGAGAAACCAGAGAGAGAGAGCGACCAGAGAGCGACCAGAGAGCGACCATAGAGAGACCATAGAGAGACCATGGAGAGACCATAGAGAGAGAGACCAGAGTGAGACCAGAGTGAGACCAGAGTGAGACCAGAGTGAGACCAGAGAGAGACCAGAGAGAGACCAGAGAGAGACCAGCAGAGAGAGACAAGAGAGAGACAAGAGAGAGACCAGAGAGAGACCAGAGTGAGACCAGAGTGAGACCAGAGTGAGACCAGAGAGAGACCAGAGAGAGACCAGAGAGAGACCAGAGAGAGACCAGAGAGAGACCAGCAGAGAGAGACAAGAGAGAGACAAGAGAGAGACCAGAGAGAGATCAGAGTGAGCAGCAAGAGAGACAAGAGAGAGACTAGAGAGAATGACCAAGAGAGAGAGCAGAGAGCAGAGAGAGACGAGAGACCCGAGAGAAAGACCAGAGAGTGACCAGGGAGAGACCAGATAAAGGGAGACCAGATAGGGTCCAGAAGAGACCAGAAAGAAACCAGAGAGAGACCAGAATGAGACCAGAATGAGACCAGAGAGAGACCAGAGAGAGACCAGAGAGATAGGAGCAACAGAGAGAGCATGATCCCTGACCTCTTCACATGTTCACACTCTCTCACATGTTTAACCCAACACAGATACCATGTGTCTCTGTGCTGTTCATGGTTGTGCTGATGCCTTTTGTGTCTCAGGGTCCATATCTGCGGAGTCGTCCTTGTTCACGTATGACTCTGAGTATCTGGAAACTGAATACAAGAACGCTCCCAAACACGACCAAAGCTTTGTTCCAGATTTTTATGTTCCTGAAAACCCGAGCGATCCACTCCTGAACCAGGCCATTCAGATCTGTGCCGGGGAGGGCTCCCAGTTCTGCAGGTCAGACCAGCTGTCCCTCTGCTCTCTCTCTGGTCTCTCTCTCTGGTCTCTCTCTGGTCTCTCTCTGCTCTCTCTCTGGTCTCTCTCTCTGCTCTCTCTCTGGTCTCTCTCTGGTCTCTCTTTGGTCTCTCTCTCTGCTCTCTCTCTCCTTTTGCTCTCACTCTGGTCTCTCTCCTCACATTAAAGCAACAGTGACTTAAATCCAATCCACATCACAGATCTGACTCTTGTTATCCTCGTTCTTGCAGATACGATGTTCTCGTTGGTCGCAGTTTGTCGCTGGGAAACTCCTCAAAACTCTTATTTCAAAGCCACATGTCTCTGGTGGAGGACCTGAAACCAGGTGAGTCCTCAGAAGGAGGTCAGAAGACCTGAAACCAGGTGAGTCCTCAGAAGGAGGTCAGAAGACCTGAAACCAGGTGAGGTCTCAGCAGGAGGTCAGAAGACCTGAAACCAGGTGAGGTCTCAGCAGGAGGTCAGAAGACCTGAAACCAGGTGAGGTCTCAGCAGGAGGTCAAAGTGAGCTCACACTCTGACCTTTGAACTTTTGCAGTGGTGTCCTGTGGGTTTCTCTCGCCTCCGACCAACGGGATGAAGAATGGCACCACATACATCCAGGGCTCGAGGATTCTGCTGAGGTGTGAGGAGGGGTTCGACCTCCAGGGGGCGACAGAGAGAGTGTGTCGGTCGGATGGACACTGGTCCGGAGAGGACACCGTCTGCACCAAGACGAGTACGAACGCGTGAGACAATCACCCTGTTCTGGGGCTGTGTAAGACCATAGACTGTATGCAGAGGCTAACCCGCTAGCTCAGTGCTAACTGCTACCTCAATGCTAACCTGCAAGCTCAATGCTAACCCACTAGGTCAATGCTAACCCGCTACATTGCTAACCTGCTAGGTCAAAGAAGCTCAAGAGGGAAGTTCTCTAACTCTCTCTGGCTGCTTTTGACTTGATGTAAAGTGAACTCCTCTAGGTCAGAAACCGTTTGTGTAGAGAATAGGGATGTAAATCAGTGACCATTTAACCGGTGGTTGACCGTCACAGCGTTAACCGGTCAAAGCTGTCGGCTGAAAATAAGAACACATGGAGAGGGGAGGTCTCTTCATAACGCTATTTTAAGCCCTATTTTCAAGGTGTGACGAGCGGGTCCGTCTTTAGCTGTGTGCGCCAATGTATCAGTAACGCACACACGCACACACACGCGCACGCACACACACACAAACACACACTTCCCCCCTCCATTGATACGTAACATCCACACGCATCTTCTCTCCACTCTGTTACCGCCAAAGTTGCACACTGGTGCGGGTCAGAACTACATTGGAGCTTACATTTATAACCACACACATACATACTGTACGTACACACGTACTGTACACACATACATACATGTACACGCACACACATACCGGTCTGTCGCGCTCCTCTGTGTCACATAGCTCAAAGGATCCTCGCAAATACGCGGCTCCAGTCAAACCACATGGAACATGTTTGTGCTGCTGGTCCTTGGCATTAGATTAAACTTTAGCGGAGACCTGCGAGACGCGGCTCATCACTCGCTGCTCTTATCATGTGGACGAGCCGTTGTTTGCTGCTAAAAAGCTGTAACCCACAGCACAGCAGAATGGGAAGATTAAAGGGCTCGACACACGGGAGGCGACATCGCATCGCCTCCATTCATTTTCAATGGGACGTGCGCGACATAGCGTCAATCGCTAGCGAGCCTCCTGCTCAGCGACGGGCAAAAAACGTGCGTGTGAAATCCTCCCGCTCGTGCATGTATCGTGCACGCGCAGGTCAGCGACGCGATCCCAGAAAGTTGAAATCGGCTCAACTTTTCGACGCTGTCGTCAAGCCGCATCGCGCCCCGTCTGTCATGTTATCTGAGCGACAGCGTTGAGTTTCGCTGATCGCTCTCATTTGTCGCCTCCCGTGTGTCGAGCCCTTAAGTAGTTCTCTGTGCGCAAAGGTGCGGGTTTTGGCGCCGCTGTCTCGGCTCTGATCCAGTAGAACGCAGAGCTGCACTTATGAAAAGTACGCAGCTCGAAATGGCTGTTATTTCAAAGAACGTGGAATATTTTAAACTATGCGGTTAACCGTTTCAACCGGTTAATGAGGCTCGGTGGTCGGTCATGAAAATTCATAGTTTTTTACATCCCTAGTAGCGAAAGTAGAGAGAGAGCAGAGAAACACCTGAGAGAGAGAGTAGAGAGAGGACAGAGAGAGACCAGAGAGTGAAAAATTGTAACCATTGCCCCTGTTACAGCTAGCTTATGTTCATTTCAGCTTCTACCTCATGAATGCTAACTGTGGTGATGTCACATACAGTCTATGGTCTGACTCTGAACCAATCATCTTGCAACAAAAATATGATTAAAATCCTGTCTAATCAAAGCGTAAATGTTTCTGCTTCTTGATTTGAATCTTCTTTGACGTCACTGAAGTCTTTTTCATGTTCTTTGGAATAAATGTGATGTGTCTCTGTATTGGACCCGCCCTGCACCCGGGTCTCTGTCAGAGAGAGACCAGAGTGAGACAAGAGAGAGAGACAGACCAGAGAGAGACCAGAGAGCACATCTTATCTTATCTTATAAAACAGAGAGACCAGAGATAGACCAGAGAGAGAGACCAGAGAGAGAGACCAGAGAAAGAGACCAGAGAGAGACCAGAGAGAGAGATCAGAGAGAGAAACCAGAGAGAGAGAGACCAGAGAGAGACAGAGGGAGTCCAGAGAAAGACCGGACGGACACCAGAGAGAGACTCACATGAGGCTGGGAGCACACAAACACCAGTGAACTTCGACCAGAGGTTATAGGTCACTGGTTACTTGTCACATGGTCACTGATCACATGTGGGGGCATTTATCAAAGACAGGAAGTAGTTCTGAAACAAGGACAAGTTCAGGTTATTTCAAAATAATACAGAACAAAATAACATTTTTATTGCACTTTTGAGAAGTTTATCAGAGAGAGTTTTTATCTTTCTGCGCCCTTTCAAATAAGACCCTTCACTGTCCGGGAGCTCGGGGTAGAGCCTGACTCCACGACTGCAGAACACCGAGGGATTCAAATTAAATTAAATTACGTCAAGATCAACTGTGGTGTTGGAGCGCCCCCTGGTGGAACACAGAGGAACTGACAGAGCTGCCGTTAAAAACAAACATTGTCAGAGAAGAAGTCTGTCTCACATTTACAGGAAGACTGAAAGTATTTTTGTATATGATTTCTGATGTTAAACTCTGAAAGCTCAAACAGACTGATGGTTACCAGGTGGTTGTTGTTGTTCTCAGGTAACGTTGCTGGTATCGTAGCTGGTTCTGTGATCGGGGCCCTCGCTCTGATGGTCCTCATTACGTCCATCGTCCTCTACTCCCGGAAACACAGGTTTGTGGAAGTCAGGGAAGAAATGTCTGCTTTATGACCAATAAACATGTGTGTGTGTGTGTGTGTCTGTATGTGTGTCTGTGGGTGTGTCTCTGTGTGCGTGTCTCTATGTGTGTGTGTCTCTGTGTGTGTGTGTGTGTGGGTGTGTGTGTGTGTGTCTCTGTGTGCGTGTCTCTATGTGTGTGTGTCTCTGTGAGTGTGTGTGTCTTTTTGTACATGTGTGTGTGTCTTTGTGTCTGTGTGTGTCTCTGTATGTGTGTCTGTGTGTGTGTGTGTGTGTGTCTCTATGTGTGTGTGTGTGTCTCTGTGTGTATGTCTCTTTCTATATGTGTGTGTGTCTGTGTTTGTATGTTTGTGCGCGTGTGTGTCTATGTGCGCTTGTATTATGTATGGGTGTCTGTGTACGTGTGTGTCTATGTTTGTATGCGTGTGTGTCTCTTTGTGTCTACGTGTATGTGTGTGTGTGTGTATGCGTTGTTGTGTGTCCAGGAAACCCTCCGGAGTCCCAGAGGAGAGAACATCAAACTTGTGAAGCTCCTGCTGCTCTGAAGAACCAACAACTTTGTGTGTTTTTTATCGCTGCGTTTTCTTTGCTTGAACTTTTTGATTCTCTCTGATTCAGGAGAGAAACCCCCGAGAAAACTACTGCTGTGATTTATGACTACACAAAAATAAAAACATTTAAAATGAGTATTTGGACGATCTTGAAGAGGAAGTGACAACATCGGCTTCAAAACACGAGAGATCTGTGGGAGGAATGGGCCAAAATACCATTCACCGTCTTCTGTAAATCACAAGGGTTTCACACACTGCTGCTGGTATTTTGACTCAATCCAACCTTATTTGAGGTTTATTTATCTGTGTTCAAAAAGATTTACTGTAATTTTGTTTTTTAAAGTGGGAGGTTTCTCAGCGCTGGTGTCTGACTCAGTGCTCTCCCTCTGTGACTCTCATAAGCATAGGCGCCGTAAAGGGGTGGAAGGTTAGGACGATTCTAAGGGCCCAGGCTGATGAAGGGCCCAGAAGAGCAGACCCTCTTTTTCTTTTCTTATTTCTTTTCTCTTTTTTATACATACGTTAAATGTGCTAGGGCCCCTCATACACTTACTGTGTATTTTGTCCGTTTTGACCATAGATTTAATATTTAACAAACAAATAATATATTTACTGTTTAAGTCACACCCCCCTCACAATGGTTCATTCCACCTGCGCTGTCCGAGCTACACTCGCTAGCGTAACGTCTCTTGCTTATTGCATTTGTTATGATGCAGTGCAGATAGTGACACACGCAGGCATGTCACATCAAAAGTCAGGGCATCAAAAACGGAAAGAAAAGAAGGAAAGAGAAGACAGAGAACGCCGAAGTCGACAGTATGTCACACAGTTTTTCAAAAAGAAAGGTAGCTTTCCCTATTCCTGTATTCCAAAACTTTCACTTACTTATTTTTGTTGCTACATGACCTGCTTTTATCTAGCTAGCTTAGTAAAATAATTACTGAATTATGATTTACATCCAACAATAATAACATCTCTGCTGTCTCCGGGTTATCATGTCTCGTAGACACAGATTCAGCGGCCGCTGCACACCCACGTCTTCCTTCCCCCGCGGCCCCCGTCCCCGTCTCAGCCAAACAAGGTGAGCCTGAGCGCAAAACTTCACGGAGATTGTTGAAAGCTCTAAGCACGTCTTATCTACTGTGTTCTCCACATGATGATAACTTTACTAAACAAAAAGTAATCTACACGCTTCAAAAATCACAAAATCAGTTTGCCGTGTGTTCTGTGAAGTGACAGTGCTGCTGCTACAATCGATGCTGTCAAACTTGACGTTCTTAATATGAATAAAATGCCCCTTGAAAAAATAATATAAAGTGGAATAAAAATGTGTCTGTGGTAACCATTGGCTATAATTAGTTTACAGAATAGATATTTTAATATTTTATATTAAGAAAACTATACAAAAAAATACTGTTTTGGATTGTCTAATTTTTTTCTTGTGTTGTATAGTTATCTATTTCATATTATTCAACAATGCAGTTAAGAAAATATGAATTCTAAGCTGTAACTTGTTGACTGGGGAAAAAAAATGATTTTGCTATCCTTACCCCACAGAAACAAGAGAGAGACAGAGAGTTTTGCCAAGAAAGAGTGTGGAAGTTGAGGAAGCGGTGAGAATAGTGGAATATGAGAGCACAGAGGGAGCCCTAAGTGTGAAGGAAGATGAGAGAACAGAGGAAGCCATGAGAGCAGACTCAGAGGAAGATGAGAGAACAGAGGAAGCCATGAGAGCAGACTCAGAGGAAGATGAGAGAACAGAGGAAGCCATGAGAGCAGACTCAGAGGAAGATGAGAGAACAGAGGAAGCCATGAGAGCAGACTCTGAGGAAGATGAGAGAACAGAGGAAGCCATGAGAGCAGACTCAGAGGAAGATGAGAGAACAGAGGAAGCCACGAGAGCAGACTCAGAGGAAGATGAGAGAACAGAGGAAGCCATGAGAGCAGACTCAGAGGAAGATGAGAGAACAGAGGAAGCCATGAGAGCAGACTCAGAGGAAGATGAGAGAACAGAGGAAGCCACGAGAGCAGACTCAGAGGAAGATAAGAGAACAGAGGAAGCCATGAGAGCAGACTCTGAGGAAGATGAGAGAACAGAGGAAGCCATGAGAGCAGACTCTGAGGAAGATGAAGAAGAGACTGTTGTGTCAAATGATCCTGGTTTGTGGCCAGCAAAAATTAGCAATGCAGACAGAGAAAAGATTGTGCAAAAAATAGCCTCTTCTAAAGATAAAGAACAAGAAATGCCACATGATTCAAAAGGTAAAGCCTTCCCCGAATACCTCAAGTACACAAAGTCAGGAAATTGCAGGGAAAAGATTAAGAGAGACTGGGTCATTTACAGCCAAAGCACAAATGCACTATTTTGTATTCCTTGTGTATTATTTGGTCATGAGCTAAAGAAACCTTGTATGAGCGCACTAAGCAGTCAACATGGTTATAAAATCACAGACATAACATGGCGTCGAATGTATGATAAATTCCCTAACCACGAAAGTAGCAAAGCACACAGGGAGTGCTACTTAAAATGGAAAACCTTACAACAGTCTGTAATGGCAGCTGTCCCTGGGGGAATAGACAGCAAGCTGAAGAAGCTCATACAAACAGAAATAGACAAAAATCGAGCTATTCTGAAGAGGATACTAGATGTAACCTTGTTCTTGGCCTCTCGAAATTTACCCTTTAGGGGTAAAACAAAAGACTTGGGGGACATTCATAATGGCAACTTCTTGGGCACCCTTGAGCTCCTGTCCCATTATGACCCACTACTCAACGAACATCTACAAAAAGTCAGAGACAAAAAAACAGGAACAAGACTGACACACTATTTAAGCTCAGATATTCAGAACGAATTTATTGAGTTATGTGGAAAACGAGTGTTAAGTAGTATTCTTAAGGAAAGGGAGGAATCAGTCTATTATTCAGTCATTTGCGATGCTACTCCGGATATTTCACATACAGAGCAAAATGTATTGCTCTTACGATATGTAGGTTTTGATCAAGAAAACAAGAAATGGGAGGTTGTTGAAAGGTTTTTGGAGTTTAAAGATTTTCACAAAAAAACAGGAAGTGAGATAGCAGACATGGTTGTAAATGTGCTTAATAGTCACGGCATAGATCTGAATGACTGCAGGGGCCAAGGCTATGATAATGGGGCAAACATGTCTGGAAAAATCAAGGGGGTTCAAGCCCAATTATTAAAAAAGAATAAGCTGGCTACTTTTTCCCCTTGTGCGTCTCATACTCTGAACCTTGTTGGTGTGCATGCAGCTCAATCAAGTCCAGAGGTTACTAACTTTTTTGGCTTTGTCAATCGTCTTTATGCCCTTGTTAGTGCCAGCCCAGAGCGATGGGCCATCTTTAAGGCAAAAACGGGTTGCACTTTACATCGTCTGTCAGACACTCGGTGGAGTTCAAGGGTTAAGGCTGTTCAACCTATAGCCAAGCACCTGCCCAGTGTCCTAGAAGCTCTTGATGCCATCCTCTCAACCTGCAGTCTGACACCAGAAGCTCGGTCTGAAGCCAGCGGCCTAAAAAAGTATTTTGAAACTTTTGATACTGTTTTTCTGTTGACTGTTTGGGTCAAAGTTCTGCAAGCCATTGACAAAAGGAATATTATTCTCCAGTCAGGGAAATTAACTCTTGAGACAGAGGCAGAAAATATCAGAGCTTTGCAGGAGGAGATGCAACATCTGAGGGATGAATGGGAGAGTTTCTTTTCTGAAGCATCACTTGTTGCACAACAGATGAACATTAACCCTCTGTTCAGGTCAGGATTCAGCCGCCAGAGGAAAAGAAAACGGTTTCACGATGAGACAGAGGTAGAGGGAGCAAGGGAACACAGTGCAGACACCATATTCAGAAACACAGTGTTTCTTCCCATGATGGACCACATAATCAGTGACTTAAGTACCAGGTTTGCCATAACAGCTGAGATCTTGGATCAGTTTTCTGTAGTTGTAAAAATGGGCCAGTTACGTGATGATCAAATCCATTCTGTATGCCAGCCATTGATTTCAAAATACAACACTGATCTGACTTGTGAATTTGAAGATGAAGTCAGACACCTCAACTCTGTATATAGGGCCACTTTCCCAGGGTGTCTGTCACCAATTGATCTGCTCAACAGCATTTACAAGATGCAGCTGCAGAGTATTTTTGGGCAGGTCTGCATAGTTTTGCGAATATTTTGCACATTGCCTGTGACCGTTGCTGGTGGCGAGAGAGCATTCAGTAAGCTCAAACTGATAAAAAATTATCTTAGGTCTGCTATGTTGCAGGACAGACTTTGTCACCTTGCCATACTGTCCATTGAAAGCAAACTGGCAAGAAAGCTGAACTTTGATGATTTGATACATGATTTTGCCAGCAGAAAGGCACGCCGCTGGGCCATTATAAAGTGATGTTGAACATAACTTGTTATACCTGGATAACAAACAGTTTATGTCTGGTTCAGTACTTGTTTAGTCCTGGACTGGTTTAGGCCTGGCATTACTCCTGGTGTGTCTTGATTTTGAGCCCTTTTGGCCTAGTTTTAGTCTTTGACTGATTTAATTATGGGTTAGTTGTAGCTGATGTTTCCTGATTGAGCAGTTGGACCCAGTTAAAGCTTGTTCACGTAAAGTATATGTCAATATGTGTACATTATGTTCTGTTGTGTTTGCAATTGCAATTGAGATAATAAATATTCTCCTTTTATGTAAACAAGTACATATTTCCATAGCTTTTTCTTGTTTTTGTAGGCTTTTACTCATCAGACATTTTAACTATGCGATGTGCTAAGTATCTTTTTTAAAGTATACAGGGCATGTTTATTGGGTTACATTTTATCTGTAAAAAATGTAGGGGGCCCAGAAATGTTTGTTTCCATAGGGCCCAGAATTTCTGGCGGCACCCCTGCTCATAAGTATCTTTAAAGTGCCGTAATGAACACTCTGTTTGTCCAAAGGTCTCTGAGCTGTGTGTGTTCCAGACTCAGACTGGATTTGGACTTTTGAAATAAATCTTGTATCGTGTCAGACTCTGATGTTGAAAATATATTTCTGTAGAGAGACCAGAGAGAGACCAGAGAGAGACCAGAGAGAGACCAGAAGGAGACCAAAGAGAGACCAGAAGGGGACCAGAGAGATACCAGAGAGAGACCAGACCGAGAGAGATGACAAAAGAGAAAGAGACCAGAGAGAGAGAGAGACCAAAGAGAGGCCAGAGATGGACAATAGAGAGAGAAACCAAAGAGAGAGACCAGAGACAGAGAGACCGTTTAGAGGCCCGAGAGAGACCAGAGAGAGAACAGAGAGAGACAGAGAGACCAGAGAGAGACCAGCGAGAGAGACTAGAGAGACCAGAGATGGACAAAAGAGAAAGACACCAGAGAGAGAACAGAGAGACCAGAGAGAGAGAGAGAGACCAAAGGGAAGCCAGAGAGATAGAAACCAGAGAGAGAACAGAGATAGAGACCAGAGAGAGACCAAAGAGAGGCCAGAGATGGACAATAGAGATAGCAACCAAAGAGAGAGACCAGAGACATAGAGAGACCGTTTAGAGGCCCGAGAGAGACCAAAGAGAGAACAGAGAGAGAGAGAGACCAGCGAGAGAGACTAGAGAGAGACCAGAGAGAGAGACCAGAGACCACACAATATTTAGTGTGAGGTGTTTTAACTGTTGAGTCGTGAGGAAAAAGCTCTTTGAAAAACACCGTCCGTTCACTTTTACATGTGAGTCAATAGGAGCCAAACTTCACCATGAGCACTTCCCCATGGGGCTTCACTGAGCTAGCAGGTTAGCATAGTCCATCTGTTTACAGTCTATGTTTACAGTCTATGGTTAGAATAGAGTAACTTTAAGTAATATGTCCCTTATTACTACTTATTACTTAATAAAACTGGCTCTAACAGACGCTATGGACTTTCAACTCCTGCTACACGCCACGCTCTGAATTCAGCTCTAAGTCCGGCTCTAAGTCCGGCTCTAAGTCCGGCTCTAAGTCCGGCTCTAAGTCCGGCTCTAAGTCCAGCTCTGTGTCCAGGTCTAAGTCCAGGTCTAAGTCCAGGTCTACTGTAAGTCCGGCTCTAAGTAAGGCTCTAAGTCCAGCTCTGTGTCCAGGTCTAAGTCCAGGTCTGTCCGACTCTAAGTAAGGCTCTAAGTCCAGCTCTAAGTCCAGGTCTGTCCGACTCTAAGTAAGGCTCTAAGTCCAGCTCTAAGTCCAGGTCTAAGTCCAGCTCTAAGTCCAGGTCTAAGTTCAGCTCTAAGTCCAGGTCTAAGTCCAGCTCTAAGTCCAGCTCTAAGTCCAGCTCTAAGTCCAGCTCTAAGTCCAGCTCTAAATCCAGGTCTAAGTCCAGCTCTAAGTTCAGCTCTAAGTCCAGCTCTAAGTTCAGCTCTAAGTCCAGCTCTAAGTCCAGGTCTAAGTCCAGCTCTAAGTCCAGGTCTAAGTCCAGGTCTAAGTTCAGCTCTAAGTCCAGCTCTAAGTTCAGCTCTAAGTCCAGCTCTAAGTCCAGGTCTAAGTCCAGCTCTAAATCCAGGTCTAAGTCCAGCTCTAAGTCTAGGTCTAAGTGCAGCTCTAAGTTTAGCTCTAAGTCCAGATGATGTGACTGTGTTCCTGGAGTCTGGCGTCATGTTTAATCTCGACGGCGTCCTCCTCACGCCTTGTTCTCGCCCTGTTCTCGTTCGGAGCCAACATTCTTCTGCTCTGAGTCTCGGTCTCAAACAGGTCACAGTCAGGACGAGACATTCCACATCCTTTCACCAATAAACAGGTTTGGATCCGGGTCCAAGTCCGGGTCCAGGTCTGGGTCCAGTGTATAATAACAATAATAAAACAAAGTTAGCAGTTAGCATGACCATACCAGCACGTGAAAGGCAGATCCTGTCAGACCTCTGAAGCTAAGCAGGGCAGGGCCTGGTTAGTACTGTGATGGGAGACCTATGAGAACACCAGGTGTCACACTGTGGCAGCTGTAAGATGCCAAACTGTGGTTGTGTCTTTAGGCATGAGTCTAGTGTGTGTGAATGGTTGGTGTTGGTCAGAGGGGCCGATTGCACATACTGGTTGCCTCGCTTCTGTCATTGTGCCCCAGGGCAGTTGTGACTACAGTAGTAATTTAGGGCCACTGTGTAGGGACTGAAAGAATAATGACTTTGAGAGTCCAGAAAAGTGCTGTTTAAAAATGAAGCTGTAGGCGCAGATTCAGACTGAAAGACCGAGTGCAAATTTCCCCTTCCAAGCCAACCAATCGCACAGCTCACTCACAGCAAAGCAGGCAGTTTAATAGGCAGCCTCTGACAAGCAGCGCTTCCTGATGCATTTAACACCCACCACCTCCCCAGCACCTCCTCTGGCTGCCGCTCTAGGCTCCCGCTTTGGCTCCCGCTCTGGCTCCTGCTCTGGCTTCCGCTCTGGCTTCTGCTCTGGCTCCCGCTCTGGCTTCTGCTCTAGCTCCTGCTCTGGCTCCTGCTCTGGCTCCTGCTCTGGCTCCTGCTCTGGCTTCCGCTCTGGCTTCTGCTCTGGCTCCCGCTCTGGCTCCCGCTCTGGCACCTGCTCCTGCTCTGGCTCCTGCTCTGGCTCCTGCTCTGGCTCCCGCTCCTGCTGTGGCTCCTGCTCTGGCTCCAGCTCTGGCTCCTGCTCTCCTGCGCCCCATTCACACCACACTCTAGCCACCACCAGCGCTTTGACGCCCGAAGGATCTGAGGTCATCTTCAGCTGCATTCGATCTCATCGCTGCAAGTGTCAATACCGGGGTCAATGCGCCAAATAAATAAATAATTTTATTGAATGAATTGTGTCTTTGGTCTCTTCATATTGAATCGATGGATTATTATAAACAAAACATCAGATCTCACCACACAGAGGTAATGACATGAACTACTTGGTTAGTTGGTAGAGCATTGGCCTTTGTGCCAGATGGTCGTGGGTTTGAGCCCAGGTCTGTGGCTGGAACACCAGGTGCCAGTGGGGCGGCTGCGGCTGTAAAGCTGTTGTGTCCTTAGGCAAGACACTTCACCACATTGCCTAGAATGAGTCTGGCGTGTGTGTGAATGGTTGGTGGTGGTGGGAGGGGCCGATGGCACAGACTGGTTGCCTCGCTTCTGTCAGTGTGCCCCAGGGCAGCTGTGGCTACAGTAGTAGTTTATCACCACCGTGTATGGAGAGAAAGAATAATGATGTGAAGTGTCTTCGAGTTTCCAAAAAAGAAGCTGAGAGAGAGCTGCGAGGTCAACTCTCTCTCACTGTGAGAAGCTGAGAGAGAGCTGTTCGCTGATCCCCTGCAGGTGATGGGTCCACAGGAAGATGGCTGCTGCTTCGACAAAGATACAGCTTTGGTGTTTCAGAGGGGGCTTCGGGCAAAGTGGGGTTAAGTGTCTTGCCCAGGGACACAATGACAGCACACATCAGTGGGAGCAGATGACATGGATTGTGTGGGGATTGGTAGAGACCAAAGCTCTGTCAACTGAGCCACTGTCACTGCTACTTCATATTTAAACTGATACAGAGATTTCCTTCAGGTCGTGAGGGTGGATCACAGTGTGAGAGAGTCATGCTCGCAGCTCTCTCTCAGCTTCTTACAGTGAGAGAGAGTTGTGCTCGCAGCTCTCTCTCAGCTTCTCACAGTGAGAGAGAGTTGACCTCGCAGCTCTCTCTCAGCTTCTTACAGTGAGAGAGAGTCGACCTCGCAGCTCTCTCTCAGCTTCTTTTAGCGTGAGCTCTTTTGTTATAAATACACATTATTGGCACAGACCAGAGCGGCTCCTGGGACAACAGACCAGGACCGCCCCGAAGACCATTCCCGAAGAGGACATTCCCTCCTCTTACATCACCGTCGTAAACTCAGACAGAAGCAACAACATCCGGGACTATAAAGAGACTGGAGGAGCCTCATTCACACCAACGTCACAGAGATGCAGGAGCAGAGCAGAGTCCCCCCGCGGCGCCCCATCTACTGCCGAGAATCCAACTGGGAGATGTTGGAGGACCAGCCCAGTCGGGTCTTCCCTTCGGACCTGGGACTCCCACCGCTGCTGGACCTGCGGGACGTGGACTGGCTGGACTGGGCCAAGAAGAGGCTGGCTTCGTGGTCATGGGGGGGGCAGCATCTGGCTCTGGACTCCGGGGACAAGAGAGAACTGAGAGAGCTCCGAGGGGGAGAGATGGTCGAGGGAGAGGAGAGAGAGGGAGAGATTAGGGGGGGAGAGGAGAGAGGGAGAGAGAGAGAGAGGGGGGGAGGAGAGAGGGAGGGGGAGAGGAGAGACGGGGAGAGCGGTGGAAGGTGCAGCTGGACGTGAGGAATTTCTCGCCTGCAGAGATCTCGGTGCAGACGAAGGACGGATACATGCAGATATCAGGTGTGTGTGTGTCTGTATGTGTGTGTTTTTGTGTATGTGTGTGTGTCTGTATGTGTGTGTGGGTGTGTTTTTGTGTATGTGTCTGTCTGTATGTGTGTGTGTGTATGTGTGTGCGTGTTTTTGTGTGTGTGTTTGTGTTTTTGTGTCTATGTCGGTGTGTTTTTGGTGTGTGTATGTGAGTCTGTATGTGTGTGTGGGTGTGTGTGTTTTTGGTGTGTGTATGTGTGTCTGCCTGTGTGTGTGTGTGTTTTGTCCTGTGTGTTTTTCAATCCTACCGTATGATATTGTGTTGTGTGTATATTGTGTGGCTGTGTTTCTAATCTGGGATTGTTGATGAAGGGAAGCACGAGGCGAAGCGAGACGAGCCCGGGGGAGTTTCTCGAAGCTTCACCAGAAAATACAAGTACGTTTAAAACATAACTTTGTGTTCTCTCCTTTTTATCCTATACTCTACTCTACTCTACCCTACCCTACCCTACCCTACCCTACTCTACTCTACCCTACTCTACTCTACTCTACTCTAATCTACTTTACTCTACTCTACCCTACTCTACTCTACTCTACCCTACTCTACTCTACCCTACTCTACTCTACTCTACCCTACTCTACTCTACCCTACTCTACTCTACTCTACTTTACTTTAATCTACTCTACTCTACTCTACTCTCCCCTGATTGGGAGTGTTTCCTCTGGTCCTGTGTAACCAGTACCAGGTCCTTCTTTAGTCCCTCTTGGTCCTGGTTCTATCCAGGCCGACCTGGTGCTAAAGTGTGTGTATATAATCCATGTTTCTTGTATAACTTAAATGTGTGTTTGTTTAACCTGTGTGGTCAGGCTGCCTCTGGGCCTGGACCTCCAGCACATCAGCTCGGCTCTGTCTCCTGAGGGCCTTCTGTCTGTGGAGGCCCCTGTGGAGGCCCCTGTGTCGGGCTCCAGCAGCAGGGATGCAGACATGGAGCTAGTGGTGCCGGTCCAGCTCATCACTGACTGAAGCACAGACACAGAGGCCGAGGAGAGCTGCACTAACCCTAGATTCTGACGTGTTCACTCTGGACATAAACTCTGTGGAGGAACAGGCCGTGCTTTATCCCCATCCTCTGTGATGTCACCGACTCCTCAAAGACACACTATATATTTGGATTTTCTCTCTGGTCTCTCACTAGTCTCTACAGTATATCTGGTCTCTCTCTGGTCCCTCTCTATAGGTTTTCTGTTATTATCTCTCTATAGTCTCTCTGGTCCCTCTCTCTGTCTGGTCTTTGTCTCTCTCTGGTCTCTCTCTCTCTGGGCTCTTTCTCTTTCTCCCTGGTCTTTCTCTCTCTGGTCTTTTTCTCTCTCTGGCCTCTCTTTCTTTCTCCCTGGTCTCTTTCTCTACCTGGTCTCTCTCTCTCTGGTCTCTTTCTCTCTCTGGCCTCTCTTTCTTTTTCTCTGGTCTCTCTTTCTCTCTCTGGTTTCTCTCTCTCTCTCTGTTTTGTCTCTCTGCCTGGTCTCTCTCTGGTCTCTCTCTGCCTGGTCTCTCTCTCTGCCTTGTCTCTCTGGTCTCTCTCTGCCTGGTCTCTCTCTGCCTAGTGTCTCTCTCTCTCTCTCTGGTCTCGTGTTTGTGCATGTGTGAAGCTGTAGTCTACATCCCACTGGTTGGAAAACTCTTAACACTTGTGGCTCATGTGTGTTCTGACTCATTTCTGCGTTTTTCTTTGTGTATTATACTTTTTCTTTGGAGTTCAAACTTGAACATCTCGCTGTCCTGAAAAGTAGTGAACTAATGACCCTCTGACTCTGACCCTGACCCAGACTCTAACCCTGACTCTGTCTACAAGAAACAATAAAATGTAAATAAATGTTCTGAAGTCTTGTGTTTGTGTTTCTGATCGTTGATGTTCAGTGGTTTCATTCCTGGACACGTGGAGCTGAAGTGTTTTAATCATAGACTGCAGTGTTGTGGTGCAGAGGGAGCAGCGTCTGTAGTCAGAGCTCTCCATTCCCTCCCTCGCCTCTGGTCCTGAGCTCTGGGTGATGACAGAAAGGACGAAGTCATGGATTCAAGTTCCACATAAGCTTCCTTAGAGATAGAGGAGCTCAGAGTAGAGTCTCTGCTCCTCCATGTGGAGGTGGCTCTGTTTGTGCCTCCTGGTCTCCTCCCTGAGGAGCTGCTCTGGGCATGACCCACAGGAGGAGACCAGGGGAAGACCCAGGTCACAGTGTGTCTCTCAGCTGGGTGTGAGTGTGTGTCTCTGTTCAGACTGTTGCACCCACAGTCCGGCCATGGATAAAGCGGAAGAAAATTAAAGGGGTGAACAACCACCACAGAGATTTTATTTCCTTGTTTAGAAAAGTCAATGAATTGTCAACAAATTAGTGTGTATGCGTGTGTGTGTCTATGTGTGTGTGTGTGTGTGTGTTTGTGTCTATGTTGATGTGTATGTGTCTGTGTCTATACGATGTGTGTGTGTGTCTATGTATACATGTGTGTGTCTATCTCTCTGTGATGTGTCTATGTGTGTCTCTGTGCGTGTGTCTACAGTATATGTGTGTGTTTGTGTCTATGTATATGTGTGTGTCTATCTCTCTGTGAGTGTGTATGTGTGTCTTTGTGCATGTGTCTATATGTGTGTGTGTGTGTGTGTCTGTGTCTATAAGTATATGTGTGTGTCTATCTCTCTCTGTGTTTGTCTATGTGTGTCTGTGTCTATGTGTGTATGGCTCTCATCTCTGTGTGTCTGTGTCTATAGGTGTGTGTGCCTTTGTGTGTCTGTGTCTATGTATGTGTGTCCGTGTGTGTGTATTTTTCCACATCATTTTCACACAGCGCCAAAACAAACACACTTTCAGCTCTTTCTCAAACCTGTTGCTTTAATCCTAATCCTAATTTCACTTGATGCAGATCCAGCCCTGTGATGTCACCTCTCACACATCTCTCCAAAAGATTACACACTTTAACTTTAAATGCGGAGCCGTTTTCAGACGTTCTCCTCCAAAGGTGTCGTTCTTTGTGCCTCTCGGTGATGACAGAAGGGGGCAGGAGCGCGCGGACAAATAGGAAGTGACTATTACTATAACTATGATGTAATGCATTTGATTGTACGTGTATGTGTGAAGCTGTAATCTACACCAAGACCAGGACCAGGACCAAGACCGGGACCAGGGCCAGGATCAGGACCAGGACCAGGACCTAGAACATGACCAGGACCTAGTACAGGTCCAGGACCCGGACCAGTTATAGTCCCCAGCTCTTCCACCTGGTAGTAAGAGTTGAGAGGCTTGTGTGTAGTAACGCAGTGTCTCTTTAAAAGAAGGGGGAGTGTAGCGGAGGGATAGAGCAAAGCGATGGGTAGAAGGCACCAGAACCTCCTCCAGGACCAGGAGCGCGGCTAATGTAGGACACGCATCTCCCTGGACTATACAACCATCAGCGACACCAGCAACGAGACCATCAGTGACCGGACCGGACCAGAACCATGAGTGGATGTGCCTCTGTGTGTCCGCGGGAGCACGCACGCGGGCAGGATGGGGACGCGGGACGGAGAGGGATGTTTCTCTCCCGAACCTTCTGAGACGGAAGGAGACGAAGAGACGAAGAAGAGGAGCATGACGCTGGAGCGAGCGGGAGCGGCGGCGGTTGCATAAGACGCTGCGGGACCAGAGCGAGGCATCTTCAGTGTATCACCTCCTCCTCCTCCTCGTCTTGGTTCTCCTGGTCCTGCTCCTCCCGCCTCCCTGCCCGGTGCCATCTTCTCTCGGAGGCAGGACCGGTCCAGGGGAAGGATGCGCTTGGAGCCGCGCGTGAGCCGCATCCAGGGAGACTCTCGGATCGTCCGTGACAGTGAGGCCGGGGCCGGGGCAGCTGTGACCACGTCGGGCCTGGGAAGCCGCCAGTCCCGCTCTCTCCCCCTTCTCCTCCTCCCCCCCGCAGGACTCCCCCTTTTCCTCCCCCCAGCAGGACCATGCGTGCGTGAGGGATGAGGCTGTGCACAGGAACACCAGGCCACAACCGCGGCCTACTTCTCCTCCTCCTCCTCCTCACCAGCACCGGTCCTCCGCCTGCAGCACCTCTCTCCTCACCGCCACCGTCACATCAGCATATTTGGTACGCACACGCTCACACACACACACACACGCGCTTCCAGACTCACACATGTACACGTATGCGCGCACATAATCACGCACGCACAAATGGAGGGAATGACAGACGTGCGCGCGCCTTGGTGATTGGAGTATGTGTAAGTGCGCGCGCGCGGAGGTGAGCGCGTGTCTGTTCTCAGCTTGTACATCTGTAGTCATGGCAACCGCAGCCCTCCGCGTCTCCTCCTGCCGCGCACGGAGCCCACAGATGCTCCTTCGCGGGTTCGTTCTCCGTTTTGGAAATGGCTCAAAAAGTTGTATTCATCTAGTTACAATTTTCAACATCTGAGAGGAGGAAGTTAGGCCTGTTTATTTGTGTAGCGCTTCACAGAGTCCTCTCCCTCCTCACGCACATGGGCTTCACTGACCGGATCCAGACACAGGGAGAACATGCAAACTTCACACAGAAAGACCCTGTCTAGAACCAGTCCAAAAACCAGAGAGACCAGAGAGAGACAGACCACAGATAGAGCAGAAAGAGAAACCAGGAAGAGAGCGAGTCCATTGAGCAAAGAGGGATCAAAGAGAGGGATTAGAGAGAGAGAGAGCGGTAAGTGGTGAAACTTATCCTAAAATACCACAGACTATTAAAAAACTCTGCCAAGAGTCAACAATATCTCTGCCAAGAGTCAACAATATCTCTCTCTTTTCTCTGGTCTCTCTCTCCTGCAGGTCATCAGTATAGATCCAGGAGCATGAGCACTTTGAGCCGGTGCAGATGTCTCTCTATTGTGTCTCTCTCGTCTCTGTCGTGTCTCTCTCTTGTCTCTGTTGTGTGTGTCTCTCTCTCTCACTTCTGGTCTCTCTCTGGTCTCCTCAGGTCATCAGAGCATGATCCCTTTGAGCCGGTGCGGATGTCTCTCTCCTGTGTGTTTCTCTCGCTCACCTCTGGTCTCTCTCGTCCCCTCAGGTCATCAGGTAGATCCAGGAGCATGAGCACTTTGAGCTGCTGGTGCAGATGTCTGGGTACAAGCGCATGCGGAGACAGCACCAAAAGCAGCTGATCGCGTTAGAGAACAGGCTGAAGGCCGAGATGGACGAGCACCGTCTGAGGCTGCAGAAGGAGGCGGAGACTCAGGCCAACAACACCTGCATCGAGCTGGAGCGGCTGGCCAAGAGGCAGGCCTCGCAGACCGACAAGGAGGTGAGAAACCCTACCACAGGCCGACAAAGAGGTGAGAAACCCTACCACAGACCGACAAAGAGGTGAGAAACCTTACCACGGGCCGACAAGGAGGTGATAAACCCTATCACAGGCCGACAAAGAGGTGAGAAACCCTACCACAGGCCGACAAGGAGGTGAGAAACCCTACCACAGGCCGACAAAGAGGTGAGAAACCCTTCCACAGACCGACAAAGAGGTGAGAAAACCCTATCACAGGCCGACAAAGAGGTGAGAAACCCTACCACGGACCGACAAGGAGGTGAGAAACCCTATCACAGGCCGACAAAGATGTGAGAAACCCTACCACGGACCGACAAGGAGGTGAGAAACCCTACCACAGGCCGACAAAGAGGTGAGAAACCCTTCCACAGACCGACAAAGAGGTGAGAAAACCCTATTACAGGCCGACAAAGAGGTGAGAAACCCTACCACAGACCGACAAGGAGGTGAGAAACCCTACCACGGACCGACAAAGAGGTGAGAAACCCTACCACAGACCGACAAGGAGGTGAGAAACCCTATCACAGGCCAACAAAGAGGTGAGAAACCCTACCACAGACCGACAAGGAGGTGAGAAACCCTATCACAGGCCAACAAAGAGCTGAGAAACCCTACCACAGACCGACAAAGAGGTGAGAAACCCTACCACGGACCGACAAGGAGGTGAGAAACCCTATCACAGACTGACAAGGAGGTGAGAGAATCCTGTCCACTGCTGGAGAGCCTGGACCACTGTGTGATGTCACCACCTGTTCAAAACTCCATGATTGAACTCTGAGACTCCCAGAGCAGTCATTTTGACTCCTCTCATTCAAAACAGTGGGATTCTGAAAACAGGAATAAAATTAACTTTTGCTTTTACCTTCACTGACACTGAGCTGAAACTGGTGAATTTATCTGAAATACAGCTTTTGTGAAACACTGAATGCTAACTGCTAACAGTAAACAGTGTGTTGCTATGGTAACCAGCGATAGCTAACTGAACCAGAACTAGACCAGAAGCAGAACCCTGAGAAACAGGGCTTTAGCTGTCATGGAATATCGGTTGCCAAGCGACAACATTGTCTTTTTTAGAATTATAGCAAAGAGTAGAACTCACATTTTAAAAACACAATAATAACATATAAATGAAGAACGTACGAAAACAGACAAAATGACTGCTCTGGGAGTTTTAGTGCTAACCCTTTGTATTAGTATAAAGTATAAAAAATCTTGTTAATTTAAATATTATTATTCTCAGATGAAGACGTCAGCGTCGGAGGAGAGAAGGATCCAGCAGCAGATCGTGGCTCAGCAGAAGAAAGAACTCGCCGTTTTACTGGAGAATCAGAAGAAAGAATACAGACTGTGCAAGGACCTGTTCAAGGAGGTGACTTTAACCGTTCTATTCACTCAGAGACCCAGGACTGAGGCTGTAGACCCAGGTCTGAGGCTGTAGATCCAGGACTGAGGCTGTAGACCCAGGTCTGAGGCTGTAGACCCAGGTCTGAGGCTGTAGACCCAGGACATAGGCTTTAGATCCAGGTCTGAGGCTGTAGATCCAGGTCTGAGGCTGTAGATCCAGGACTGAGGCTGTAGACCCAGGACTGAGGCTGTAGACCCAGGACTGAGGCTGCAGACCCAGGATTGAGGCTGTAGACCCAGGTCTGAGGCTGTAGATCCAGGACTGAGGCTGTAGACCCAGGTCTGAGGCTGTAGACCCAGGACTTAGGCTGTAGACCCAGGTCTGAGGCTGTAGACCCAGGTCTGAGGCTGTAGATCCAGGACTGAGGCTGTAGACCCAGGTCTGAGGCTGTAGACCCAGGACATAGGCTGTAGATCCAGGACTGAGGCTGTAGACCCAGGTCTGAGGCTGTAGACCCAGGACTGAGGCTGTAGACCCAGGTCTGAGGCTGTAGATCCAGGACTGAGGCTGTAAACCCAGGTCTGAGGCTGTAGATCCAGGACTGAGGCTGTAGACCCAGGACTGAGGCTGCAGACCCAGGACTGAGGCTGTAGACCCAGGACTGAGGCTGCAGACCCAGGACTGAGGCTGAGGCTGCAGACCCAGGACTGAGGCTGAGGCTGTAGACCCAGGACTGAGGCTGTAGACCCAGGATTGAGGCTGTAGACCCAGGACTGAAGCTGCAGACCCAGGACTGAGGCTGAGGCTGTAGACCCAGGACTGAGGCTGTAGACCCAGGACTTAAGCTGCAGACCCAGGACTGAGGCTGAGGCTGTAGACCCAGGACTGAGGCTGCAGACCCATGACTGAGGCTGAGGCTGTAGACCCAGGACTGAGACTGAGGCTGTAGACCCAGGACTGAGGCCCGGGTCACAGTCTGGGTCAAATGCAGAGGTCACATGATGCTACAGGGACCTTTGACCTCTGTGCAGGAGATGAGCGAGGACCCGTGCACGCCGAAAGAGCAGAAGCAGGAGCGCCTGTCGAGGCACAAGGAGGAGGTGCAGCGGTCGCAGGCGGAGGAGGAGGCGCAGGTCCTGACCCAACAGAGACTGGTTTATGAACGGAGCTGCCGGGCCCTGAGGAGGCGGGCCCTGCTCCACCGGCACCACTTCGAACAGGAGCAGATCAGAGAGGTCACTACTGCTGTGTATATATGTGTGTCTGTGTTTATACATGTAAGTCTGACCAGAGAGAGAGCAGAGAGCGAGAGAGAGAGGGAGCAGAGCAGAGAGAGAGTGAGAGCAGAGAGAGAGAGAGAAAGAGAGCGGAGAGAGAGGCGGAGAGAGCAGAGAGCGAGCGAGAACAGAAAGAGATCTGAGAGAGAGAGAGAGAGAGAAAGCAGAAAGAGATCAGAGAGAGAGCAGAAATAGATAAGAGAGAGACCAGAGAAAGAGAGCAGAGAGAGCCCAGAGAGAAAAAACAGAGACCAGAAAAGGACCAGAGATACCAGAATTAGAACAGAGAGCTCAGAGAGAAAACCAGAGAGAGAGATTACAGAGAAACCACAGAGGTCGGGTCACAACTGCAAAGAATACATGTATTTATGTAGCCATAACCCAACTAGAGGGAGCCAAGAGAGATACCATGAGAGACCAGAGAGAGAGACCATAGACACAGAGAGAGACCAGAGAGAGAGACCATAGACACAGAGAGAAACCAGAGAGAGACACCAGAAAGAGTCCAGTGAGACCAATAAGATAGCTTAGAGAGAGACCACAAAGAGAGCTTAGAGAGAGACCAGAAAGAGAGCAAGGAGAGAAAGTGCTGTATACAGAGTCTCTTCAAAGTACTCGTACCTGTGTCTCTTCAAAGTGCTCATACCTGTGTCTCCAGGAGCTGAATAAGAAGCGCACACAGAAGGAGATGGAGCAGGCGCTGCTGATTCGCCACGATGAGTCCACTCAGGAGCTGGAGCAGAGGCAGCTGCAGACGCTGCAGAAGCTGCGGCTGGAGCTGATGCGGCTGCAGCACCAGACCGAGCTGGAGAACCAGGAGGAGTACAACAACCGGCGCCAGAGAGAGCTCCACCGGAAACACTCTGTGGAGAAACGGCAGCAGCCCAGGGACCTGAAGGTGCAGCCCACACTCTGCATGTGCACAGGGTTTGTCCAGGATCAAAACAAGAGAGACCAGAAAGAGAGAGCCCAGAGAGAGAGTGACCAGGAAGAGAAGGACAAGAGAGATATCAGAGAGAAACCAGAGAGAGAAAGACCAGGAAGAGAAGGACAAGAGAGATATCAGAGAGAGAAGAGATAGATCAGAGAGAGCAGAGCGAGATCATAGAATGAGAACAGGGAGAGAGAGACCAGAGAGAGAGAGAGAGAGAAACCAAACACAGAGAGAGATCAGAGAGAGAGAAACCAAAGAAAAAGAGAGACCAGAAAGAGACCAGGAAGAGAAAGACCAGAGAGATATCAGAGAGAGACCAGAGTGAAACCAGGGAGAAAGACGAACCAAAGCGAGAGAGAGACCAGAAAGAGAGAGACCGGAGAGAGAGTGACAGAGAGAAACCAAACACAGAGAGCGAGAAAAGAGACCAGAAAGAGAGACCAGGGAGACCAGAGAGGATGAATAATCTCATCCCACTGTGGGGAATTGTCAGTGTTGCATCAGCAGTTCCAGAACAGTAGGAATGAGGAGAACACAGCACAAGATGAAGGAACAATAAAAAAAAAAAAATTTACTCACATTACTGACATTAGAGACCAGAAAGAGAGAGATCAGAGAGAGAGAGAGACCAGAAAGAGAGTGATCAGAGAGAGAGAGACCAGAGAGAGAGAGACCAGAGAGAGAAAAAACAAATAGAGAGAGAGACAGTGAGAGACCAAACTCAGAGAGAGACTAGGAAGAGAGAGACCAGTGAGAGATCAGAGCGAGAGAGAGATCAGAGAGAGAAAAAACAAATAGAGAGAGACCAGAGAGAGAGAGAGAGTGACAAAGAGAGAAACCAAACACAGAGAGAGACCAGAAAGAGAGAGTGAGCAAGAAATCAGAGAGAAAGAGAGAGCAGAGAGTGCAAATGCGAGGTCAGGTGTTTTGTTAGTCCTCACTGTTCGTTGTACAGTCTGACAGCAGCAGGAGAGCCGTGCGGGGCCTCTCCTTCACACAGAGAGGGGTTGGGTCAGTGTGTGATGTCCTCTGCTTGTGTCCCGGTGCAGGCGGTGGAGATGCAGATAAAGAAGCAGTTCCAGGACACGTGCAAAGTCCAGAACAAACAGTACAAGGCTCTGAAGAATCACCAGCTGGAGGTTTCTCCCAAAGGCGACCACCGGAGTCTGCTGCGGAGCCTGAAGGAGGAGCAGACCCGCAAGCTGGCCGTGCTGGCGGAACAGTACGAGCACAGCATCAACGACATGATGGCGTCTCAGGCGGTAAGACCCAGGACTGAGGCTGTAGACCCAGGACTGAGGGTGTAGACCCAGGACTGTGGCTGTAGACCCAGGACTGAGGCTGTAGACCCAGGACTGAGGCTGTAGACCCAGGACTGAGACTATAGATCTAGGACTGCAGCTGTAGACCCCGGACTGAGACTGTAGATCCAGGACTGGGGCTGTAGACCCAGGACTGAGGCGGTAGACCCAGGACTGAGGCTGTAGATCCAGGACTGAAGGCTGTAGACCTAGGACTGAGGCTGTAGACCCAGGACTGAGGCTGTAGATCCAGGACTGAGACTGTAGACCCAAGACTGAGGCTGTAGATCCAAGACTGCGGCTGTAGATCCAAGACTGAGACTGTAGATCCAGGACTGGGGCTGTAGACCCAGGACTGAAGCGGTACACCCAGGACTGAGGCTGTAGACCCAGGACTGAGGCTGTAGACCCAGGACTGAGGCTGTAGACCCAGGACTGAGGCTGTAGACCCAGGACTGAGACTATAGATCTAGGACTGCAGCTGTAGACCCCGGACTGAGACTGTAGATCCAGGACTGGGGCTGTAGACCCAGGACTGAGGCGGTACACCCAGGACTGAGGCTGTAGACCCAGGACTGAGGCTGTAGATCCAGGACTGAAGGCTGTAGACCTAGGACTGAGGCTGTAGACCCAGGACTGAGGCTGTAGATCCAGGACTGAGACTGTAGACCCAAGACTGAGGCTGTAGATCCAAGACTGCGGCTGTAGATCCAAGACTGAGGCTGTAGACCCAGGACTGAGGCTGGTCTAACTAAAAAGGGTCAGACGTTTGCGTAAGAAAAATAAAGAAATGCACAAAAAACTCAATCACAGGTGGTCAATATTTCTTAACTCTTGCACTGTGATTATCGATGTATGTAATGTTTCTTTGCCTTGTGTATGGACCGTGCCACATAAATAACCTTGCCTCTACAGATGCGGCTGGAGCAGGAGCAGGCCTCGGAGCTGGTGGCCCTGGACCAGCAGCTGAAGCAGGAGATGGAGCTGCTGGACGAGTACCAGAGGAAGACCGAGGCCCAGACCCTCTCCCAGCACCAGAGAGAGCTCCACAAGCTGCAGCAGAAGGTCTCCATACGCCGGGCGCACCTGGAACAGAAGGTACGTACCATCAACACACACCAGAACACACCTGGAGCAGAGGGTATGTACCATAAACACACACCAGAACACACCTGGAACAGAGGGTATGTACCATAAACACACACCAGAACACACCTGGAACAGAAGGTACGTACCATCAACACACACCAGAACACACCTGGAACAGAAGGTACGTACCATCAACACACACCAGAACACACCTGGAGCAGAGGGTATGTACCATAAACACACACCAGAACACACCTGGAACAGAGGGTATGTACCATAAACACACACCAGAACACACCTGGAACAGAAGGTACGTACCATCAACACACACCAGAACACACCTGGAACAGAAGGTACGTACCATCAACACACACCAGAACCTAGAGCCGAAAAGCAAAAACAGAGGCTAAAATCATGGCAAAAAAACTGCTACTGCTCAGTCCAGTCCCGCACACGGTTTCAGCCCTCTGGTCCCAGTCTTCTGGCCATGGCCTGGACCATCAGACCCCAGGGCTTTCACCTCCCTGAGTCTGGCCCTGTGTCCTGCTCTCCGGCTTCCTCTTTCCCCCTCACCACAGTATTGTCCATCTGTATACAGTCTGTGTTAGCATTGTCCATCTGTATACAGTCTATGTTAGCCATTCCCAAAGTCAGTAACACCGCGGCCCCCTTAAAAATCTGACGGGTCTGCGTGGCCCCCCGAAAAGATAACCATGAAGACAACATTAAAAAATAGGCTTTTCTCGTTATTTTATTCGGGGAAATAGCCTCTGCTACAAACATGTAAATGACTCACCCCATTTTGTAATACAAAAATGATTACAATTTGATTATTCAAGTCAAATTATGAACACAAATAGTTTAATGTTACAAAAAAAATATTATGAATTTAACATAGAATAATTATATAAAAAAGAATTTTGTATGACCTCTCGCGGCCCCCCCACTTTGGGAGACACTGGTCTATAGGAACCACGTAGTAACAAAGCCAAACCATCCTAATTTGAAGAAAAATAAACGTGTGAACAATGCTGAAAAGCCTTTTGTTTCCTGGTGCGTGACTGTTGTTGTGTTTGTCGACAGATCGAAGAGGAACTAGCAGCCCTTCAGAAAGAACGTACGGAGAGGATCAAGCAGCTGTTTGAGCGACAGGACAGAGAAATACACACTTTTGACGCCGAGAGCCGCAGCCTGGGCTTCGGCAGCCTGGGGTCCATAGACTTCCCCAAAGAAGACAATAGATGAGAGCGGACCAACCCCTCGCTGCAAGAACCCACAAAGAATCACTTCATAACGGCTTGAATCGGGAACATTTGTCTTGTTTTGTGTCGAGCAGGAGCAGCTGTACACTGGTTTATGACAGGGGCGATGTGTTCTAAAACCAACCCACAACCTCTGAAGTAGCATCTGTACGATTTAGAGCTGTATAAGAGAGAGACCAGACAGAGACCAGAGAGAAAGAGTAAAGAGGTTGAGAGAGACTGGAGAAAATGAGAGAGAGAGGGACAGGAGAGATTGAGAGAGAGAGACTGGAGAGATAGAGAGAGAGACTGGAGAGATAGAGAGGGAGACTGGAGAGAGAGGGAGACTGGAGAGATTGAGAGAGAGAGACTCTGGAGAGATTGAGAGAGAGAGATAAACTGGAGAGATTGAGAGAAAGAGAGAGAGAGAGACTGGAGAGATTGATAGACTGGAGATATGTATATATAGAGAGAGAGAGACTGTAGAGAGACCAGAGAGAAAGACTGGAGAGAGACCGGAAAGAGGGACCAGAGAGGGACCAGAGAGAGGGACCAGAGAGAGACCAAAGAGAGAGACCAGAGAGAGACCAAAATCTTGCTTTACGACGGTCCAAAGACACAAACCAAGCTAAAACGCTCTCACTTCAAGTCCTTATGAACCTATTCTTTCTCGTTTGTCTTTTGCCGTACACGGTCTCCTGACGCGGGGCAAGACGGACGTACCTTTCTCCGTGTCTTCGTCCAGACCTCGGATCCTTAAACAAAGGCGTTACGTGCAACGAACAGCTTCTCCGGTGAAACTGGAATCAAAATGGGGGTTTTCGATCTCAGACAACAACAGAATAACCGAGACAATAACCGACCGACGCGTGTTCTAAAGGACAACCTCCTCCACGCCATTTCCACTTTTTGGTATGAATTGAACAAATCAGGAAAATTTTAGTACAACGGGCACTTTGTTATATTTTGAGTAGAACCGTCATGTCCATATATGATGCTGTGTGTGTGTTCAGTGAAGGACAATGTGGAATGTGAGCCGCGGCCTCCGTGGCGTTCAGCTGCTTCGCTCTGTTATGGTTTGACTCATCGTTATCACTTTGGTTGAGTTGCTAGAAGCTTAGAATGTTAATATTATTGTATAGGGTCCACCGGATATAGTGAGTGATGATTTCAATGATATCACTGCAAAGAAAAACCAAGAAAAATAGTCCATAAATGCTTAAATTAGGTTAAGAAAAGCGCGTCTGTCTTAACGCCGGGGTACAACACATGGAGCTATGTTATAACTTCCTGGCTCTAAAACAGTTTGCTCCTATCACCAGACTGTATTAAGATGGATAATGCTAACCTGATAGCTCAATGCTAATCCGCCGGCTGTATACTAACCTGCTAGCTCTATTTTTTTGCTAGCTGTACCGTTATTTAACCAGAAAAGTCCCATTGAAATAAATTAAGAACTTATTTTTCAAGGGAGTCCAACGGATAGCATACAGCTAGTGGGGTATGCTAACCCACTAGCTGTTTGATGATTTGCTAACTCAAGGCTAACCCGCTAGGTGTATGCTTACCCGCTAGCTACATGCTAACCCGCTAAAGTAATATGCTAATCTGCTCCAACACTCTCGACTCTTCTAATTCGGTATCTTTTTGTGTCACACTTGTTTGAGCACTTCCCTATTTACCATCATTGAGCTAGCGAGTTAGCATTTAGCATACAGGTTAGCATTGTCCATCATATGCAGTCAATGTATGAGTCTTGAAATACCTTTTTTAAGCACTTTTGAGTGTTTTTTGAGGCTGTTCTTTGGCAGTGGTCCCGCTCCGGCCATCATCCACGCTTATGCACAGTATTTAAAGCAACAGTCCTTAACTTCATTTGGTACAGGTTAATTAATTGGCTCCAGATCCCACTCGGTAAATCTGCTTATTATTGCATGCACTTTAAGGACAAATTCAGGTTGTGTAGTGAAGCATGATTCTGTATATAAACGTGGTCATCGCTTATGATATTGTTTCGGTTCATGAACGGTGGAGAGACAGACACTGCATAAAACAACATGTTAAAGAGAGTTTAGCTAATTCTAAACATGAGAAGCCGCATCAAGAGCTAACACTAGTAGCTATCACTGAAATAGCTAGCGGCCGATTTAGTTTTGTTGTAATCTTACGTAGACTGTGGAGAGAGAAATTTTTTGTAACTTCGCTGCTTCCTGATTGGACTAAATATTGGCCCAACCGTTCTCCCCTCCTGCAAATCTTACTACTGGTGGTTACCCTTAAATAAATTGATTTTGAAAAATGACTTGTGCGCTCGGCGAAATAGAGGAGCTCAGTCACACGAGAGGAGCTTGGAGTAGAGCTGCTGCTCCTCTACGTGGAAAGGAGCCAGTTGAGGTGGCTCGGGCCTCTTGTTTGGGATTGGGGTGGAGAGGGAAGTCTGTGTCTCTGCTCAGACTGCTGCCCCCACGACACGGCAACGGATAAAGCGGAAGAAAATGGATGGATGGAAGTTAAAAGCTTAATTGATGTGATACTACAGGGATGAACTGTCAAAAATCAGCTTTTGATTAAATTTAAGTACAATAAAAGTCACTGACATCAGCTTTAAATTTGCAGGTGACTAAGTGAGAATTGCCTTTTTTTTTTAAGCTATTGTGGGAAACGTCCCTAAACCCTAAAAGTAGTCAAGTTATAATGTGTTTTCAAATAGTAATGGAATTGACCAGATGCCTTTAGTTTCCAAAAATTAATAAAAGATATTTTGGAGCGGGCCGATAAAAACAAGCCAATGGGATGTGTTTACCCCCTTCACCCTCTTCCTGTTTCTCCGAGTGCACCGGAGTCTTCGGATTTTCTAAAACATAAAATGGCTGAACAGAAAATGCCAATTTCACGCCTGCTTCACTCTCCCTGTTGGGACAAAGAAAAGAAAATGCTGGATGTTTGGTTTGGTGGAGAGGGAGGGGAGGGGGGAGTGGTTTGGAGTTTGTGCTACGGCTAAGCTAACAGCATCACTTACTGCACCTTTAAGTATACATAGTTCCCACATGACGTCACTACATACGGGGATTTGCCGACCCGGCGCCATTTGTGTTGGCATGCTGTGGGCAAAACAATAGAAAAAGAAGCTGAAACGTGTTAATGTCGTGATAAAGTTGAAAATGGTCATCTCCTGCTGGGTCAATGGATGTTCAAATCGTGCCGGAGGTTCAGTTAAACTTGGATTTTACAGTATACCCATCATTAGACTTCATGAATGTGAGAAGACTAAGCTTTTGTCAGAACAACGACGGAGGTTATGGCTTGCGAAGATAAACAGGCAAGAAACTCCCTCAAAACACGCAAGAATATGCTCGGAGCACTTTGTGTCAGGTGCGTATCGTATCTCATAATGTGTTGACAGACGTAATTTACTCAGTACTAACTTGTGTATGCTGATAGCTGGTAACTTGAGAGTTTCATTATTTAGATTACTTTATTATGAGGAGGATCGGTGTCGCGTCCGAGGCTCTCGAGGGCAACGTAAATGTATTAAATAGATAATAATAGTTCTATGGTGGGCTAAAACAATGTTCACAAACAGCATTGCTTCTGTAAAAAGATCTGTGTCATAAAATAAACTGCTCTTTACGCCTGGAAAAATCAGTTGCCCACCATTCACCAAAACATACGGTCAAAAACGCGGAAATAAACAATAACAGCAATCCAGAGTGTCCAGAGTTAAATTAATTGTTAATATAATTAAAATAATTAAATGGAGCTCCAACTGGTATTAAATCTAAAGTTTTTGAGAAATGTTTGCATTGCTTGTTAATTTTTGCTGCATAATTTGATCAAATATGTAAAACATGTCCGTAGCACGTTAAACTGTGGTGCCATTGTATTAATATACAATTATTTGCTCAAAAGTTGCCCTTTTTTTCCAATTTGCGTTTGAATATCTACATTTATTCTCATTCTTCTGTTTAATGGAATGCACAAACACAGCAGCGTGCCATCAAAGATGGCGTCTCCGAGGAGGTCATGTGACATTCATTGGTCTGTGGGAACTATGTATAAGATGGTTTTGTACCTGCTCCCATGAAAACTTGCTCTGACTAGCTGCTAGCTCTGATTAGCTGCTAGCTCTGATTAGCTGCTAGCTCTGATTAGCTGCTAGCTCTCCCAATTCTTCGGTCGCTCGTAAACCTTAGTCTCTCTCGGTGTCTGTCTCTCCACTCTCCGTCTCACGAATGCCTTCTTTTTAAGTTGTGCCTGACGCAGACTTCGTGGACTTCACTTTCAGCCATGTTTTCTTTTCTGAGCTCGACGCGTGAATCCTTTGATGTTCACTAATCAAACTTCTTGTAAAGGAAAATGGTGAGAATTGTGCTGTATAACTTTTGATATATTTGTACATGAGACGACAGTGACACTGGTCTATCGTCAATGACAGAGCTCACAAAACCGTTTTCTTTTGTAATGTAGAGATTCAGTAGCTCAGCATATCGCTCTATCGGGTGTTTCACTCGAGCCTCAGGGGGCAGGTGTGGCTGCGGGTCTTCATTCCAACCAAGCAGGAGCACAAGAGTTTCCTCCCATGTCCGCAGGTCTTCTGGTGGGGACTGGAGCCTGTGTAGTATCTCTGTTGGCGGCTAAACCAGAGAGAGAGCAGTGAGAGAGCAGAGAGAGAGAGAGAGAGCAGAGAGAGAGACCAGAGAGAGACCAGAGAGAGACCAGAGAAAGACCACAGAAATACCAGAAAAAGACCAGAGAGAACCATAGAGAGACCAGAGAGACCCCAGAGAAAGACCAGAAAGAGACCAGAGAGAGACCATAGAGAGGCGGACATCTGAGAGACCTGGGGGTTGGTCCAGACTGCACTCACCTGAGGACATGGTGGTGTCTTCTTTGCTCCTGCTTGGTTGGAGCGAACACCCACAGCCACACCTGCCCTCTGAGGCCCGAGAGGAAGGCCCTGTGCTATCATCACTAGACTGCCAGATTGTATAAATGCTGGTGAATGAAACCACACGGCAAAAAATGACAAATGATAACTTTATATTTGCTTGAAATATAGGAAAACGCATTTTTGATTTGAGTATTTTTGTGCTGTTTGAAAACCTGATTTATCGACGGAACAAGCAGCGATAGAGAAGTGTATGTGAGCCCTGTTTCCACCAGAACTACTCTACTCTACTGTATGTTGTAGTATCTGGTGCTGTGTCCAAGCAACCTCCCCACAACAAGCCAGATTTTGGGGAAATTCCTTGGTAACCATGGCTTCCAGCAGCACTCTGGCCAATCACTGACAGTTAGAACACTCTAGTACCAGCTCGGCCTGGATAGAACCTGGACCAAGTGGGACTAAAGAAGGACCTGGTACTGGTTACACAGGACCAGAGGAAACACTCCCAATCAGGGGAGAGTAGAGTAGAGTAGAGTAAAGTACAGTAGAGTAGAGTACAGTAAAGTAGAGCAGGGTAGAGTAGAGTGGAGCAGAGCAGACCAGAGTAGAGTAGAGTAAAGTACAGTAGAGTAGAGTAGAGTAAAGTACAGTAGAGTAGAGTAAAGTACAGTAGAGTAGAGTAAAGTACAGTAGAGTACAGTAGAGTAGAGTAGAGTACAGTAGAGTAGAGTAGAGTAATGTAAAGTACAGTAGAGTAGAGTAGAGTACAGTAGAGTACAGTAGAGTAGAGTAGCGTAGAGTAGAGTAGAGTAAAGTAGAGTAGAGTAGAGTAGAGTAGAGTAAAGTAGAGTCGAGCAGAGTAGAGTAGAGTAGAGTAGAGTAAAGTAGAGTAGAGTAGAGTAGAGTAGAGTAGAGTAGAGTAGAGTAGAGTAGAGTAGCGTAGAGTAGAGTAGAGTAAAGTAGAGTCGAGTAGAGTAGAGTAGAGTAGAGTAGAGTAGAGTAGAGTAGAGTAGAGTAGAGTAGAGTAGAGTAGAGTAGAGCTGGTGGAACGGTCTCTAATGGACTTGTTGCTTGTTCTTCTTCGGTGAATCTCGTTCTTGCAGACGACATTTATTCAAACTAAGAAACTTCAAGCACAGACTTATTTTTGGATCATTTTCTGCTGTTCTTTCTCTTCCAACACTTTATGAAGAAACGTCTCAACTTAGACTTAGTTAAAGATGTTTAAAGATTACGGCCATCGACAGGTTGCACAAAGTTTCCATTCAAAAGAAAATGGAAAGTAAATAGTTTGGTGCTTGATTTCTACGATCACCTTTAGCCTTGTGGGTTTGTCTTAGAGACCGTTCATTCTACACACTCAGAGTTTATCTCTGAGCCTGACTCTGAGTCTAACTCTGAGTCTAACTCTGAGTCTGAGTCTAACTCTGAGCCTGACTCTGAGTCTGACCCTGAGTCTGACCCTGAGTCTGACCCTGAGTCTGACCCTGAGTCTGACTCTGAGTCTGAGCCTGACTCTGAGTCTGACCCTGAGTCTGACCCTGAGTCTGACTCTGAGTCTGAGTCTGAGTCTAACTCTGAGTCTGACCCTGAGTCTGAGTCTGAGTCTAACTCTGAGTCTGACCCTGAGTCTAACTCTGAGTCTAACTCTGAGCCTGACTCTGAGTCTAACTCTGAGCCTGACTCTGAGTCTAACTCTGAGTCTAACTCTGAGTCTGACTCTGAGTCTAACTCTGAGTCTAACTCTGAGTCTGACCCTGAGTCTGACTCTGAGTCTAACTCTGAGTCTGACCCTGAGTCTGACTCTGAGTCTAACTCTGAGTCTAACTCTGAGCCTGACTCTGAGTCTAACTCTGAGTCTGACTCTGAGTCTAACTCTGAGTCTGACTCTGAGTCTAACTCTGAGTCTGACTCTGAGTCTAACTCTGAGTCTAACTCTGAGTCTGACTCTGAGTCTAACTCTGAGTCTGACCCTGAGTCTGACTCTGAGTCTAACTCTGAGTCTGAGTCTGAGTCTGAGTCTGACCCTGAGTCTAACTCTGAGTCTGACCCTGAGTCTGACCCTGAGTCTGACCCTGAGTCTGACCCTGAGTCTGACCCTGAGTCTGACTCTGAGTCTGAGTCTGAGTCTAACTCTGAGTCTGACCCTGAGTCTAACTCTGAGTCTGAGTCTGAGTCTGACTCTGAGTCTAATTCTGAGTCTAACTCTGAGTCTGAGTCTGACTCTGAGTCTAACTCTGAGTCTGACTCTGAGTCTAACTCTGAGTCTGACCCTGAGTCTGACTCTGAGTCTAACTCTGAGTCTGAGTCTGAGTCTGAGTCTGACCCTGAGTCTAACTCTGAGTCTGACCCTGAGTCTGACCCTGAGTCTGACCCTGAGTCTGACCCTGAGTCTGACCCTGAGTCTGACTCTGAGTCTGAGTCTGAGTCTAACTCTGAGTCTGACCCTGAGTCTAACTCTGAGTCTGAGTCTGAGTCTGACTCTGAGTCTAATTCTGAGTCTAACTCTGAGTCTGAGTCTGACTCTGAGTCTAACTCTGAGTCTGAGTCTAACTCTGAGTCTGAGTCTAACTTTCCCCTGATGAAGAGAAACACTTTAACATTGAGAATCATGTATGAAAAAATAAATACTATTTTAAATCATGGTCCAATTGTGTGTCTGTGAGAGTGTGTGTCTGTGAGAGTGTGTGTCTATGAGAGTGTGTGTCTGTGAGAGTGTGTGTGAGAGTGTGTGTCTGTGAGAGTGTGTGTCTATGAGAGTGTGTGTCTGTGAGAGTGTGTGTCTATGAGAGTGTGTGTCTGTGAGAGTGTGTGTCTATGAGAGTGTGTGTCTGTGAGAGTGTGTGTGTGTGTGTCTGTGAGAGTGTGTGTCTGTGAGAGTGGGTGTCTGTGAGAGTGTGTGTGTGTGTCTGTGAGAGTGTGTGTCTGTGAGAGTGTGTCTCTATGAGAGTGTGTGTCTGTGAGAGTGTGTGTCTGTGAGAGTGTGTGTCTATGAGAGTGTGTGTCTGCGAGAGTGTGTCTCTATGAGAGTGTGTGTCTGTTTATCTATGTTTGTGTGTCTTGAGTCCGTTTGTGTGTGTTTTAGATACCATCAGTGAACTCAGGTACCAGAAAAGTACAGAGTACAGAGAGAGAGAACAGAGTAAGAAACACCAGAGAGAGAACAGAGAGAGAACAGCGAGAGAACAGAGAGAGAGACCAGAGAGAGAACAGAGAGAGAACAGAGAGAGAGACCAGAGAGAGAACAGAGAGAGAGACCAGAGAGAGAACAGAGAGAGAGACCAGAGAGAGAACTGAGAGAGAGAACAGAGAGAGAGAACAGAGAGAGTCGTGATCTGACTTTGTCTCTTTGATCTGGTTTTCGACTCGAAAACAGATTTGATAAATGTGGAAATCACTTCCTGTCCCTGATTTCTTCATCATTTCCGACATGATTCTGCACTTCTGTAAACGCCACATTCTGGCTGAGAAGGGGTGAGGAGGAGTGAGGAGAGGTGAGGAGGAGTGAGGAGAGGTGAGGAGGAGTGAGGAGGGTGAGGAGGAGTGAGGAGGGTGAGGAGAGCTGAGGAGGAGTGTGGAGGGGTGAGGAGAGGTTAGGAGAAGTGAGGAGGAGTGAGGAGAGGTGAGGAGGAGTGAGGAGGAGTGAGGAGAGGTGAGGAGGAGTGAGGAGAGGTGAGGAGGAGTGAGGAGGGTGAGGAGAGCTGAGGAGGAGTGTGGAGGGGTGAGGAGAGGTTAGGAGAAGTGAGGAGGGTGAGGGTGGGTGAGAAGAGGTGAGGAGGAGTGTGGAGGGGTGAGGAGGGTGAGGGTGGGTGAGGAGAGGTGAGGAGAAGTGAGGAGGAGTGAGGAGGGTGAGGGTGGGTGAGGAGGGGTGAAGGAGTAGATGAAGTAAATCTTGTGCTTTTAGAGCTGAGACAAAAGCAGGAGTTCTTTTAACACTGGAGTCATGTGTTCCTGCTGTTGGTGCCTGTTAAGGAAGCTCTTATATTGGATTTATGGCACGCTCAGCCTCACCCAACCTCAGCCTCACCCTCATCCTCACCCAGACTCACCCAGCCTCACCCTGCCTCATCCAGCCTCACCCATTCTGACCCTCATCCAGCCTCACCCTCATCCGTTCTCAGCCTCTGAATCAAACTAGGAAAGTAGCGTCTACAGAAGTGCAGCATCAGATCTATAATATTGAGAGAGTCCAGAGAGAGCAAGATCAGAGAGAGACCAGAGAGAGAGACCAGAGAGAGACTAGAATAAGAGAGAGAGAGAGATCAGAGAGAGACCAGAGAGAGAGGGAGAGAGAGATCAGAGAGACTGAAGAGAGAGAGAGACCAGAGAGAGAGAAGGAGAGAGAGATCAGAGAGAATGAAGAGAGAGAGCGCAGGCCCTGCTATAGAAACAATACAGCGTATGCACAAATGTAAACAGTAAACAAGTTTGTATTTTAAATATTAGACCATAATAATAATAATAATAATAAATTATAACAATAATATAATAATAATAACAATAATATTATTAATAATAATAATAATAATAATAATCATAATAATAATCAGCCAATGAGAGAAGAGGGGACATGTGAGTGCAGGCGTGTGGGTGCAGCTCCACTTCTCCGTCTTTGGGAGCAGAGTGTCTTTGTCGCCCCTCCGTGGTCAGCGGCGGCACTGACGCAGAGACCATGTCCGCACATGTCTACGCGGGGGGGGGGGAACCTCAGACTCAGTCCAACATCCAGAGAAGACAGAGCAGTGACACCTCAAATGCAGAAGGAGGAAATTCTGAGAAACTGTTGCTTCACAAAGAGCACGTCACTTCCTCCTGTGACAGATGTGTGGTTTTGAAAATAAGTTTATAAAAGAGATGTGTGTGAGAGAGTCTGGGGAATGAGCTGTGGGAGCATGTCTCTGCAGCAGCACACACTCACAGCAGCAAGTAAGTCCTTACACATTCTATTCTATACGCCAACTCCAAGTCAACCCCTCTCTCTGGTCTCTCTCTCTGGTCTCTCTCTCTGGTCTCTCTCTCTGGTCTCTCTCTCTGGTTTATCTCTCTGGTCTCTCTCTGGTCTCTCTGGTCTCTCTCTCGTCTCTTTCTTAAATGGCCTCTCTCTGGTCTCGCTCTGGTCCCTCTGTCTGGTCTCTCTCTGCTCTCTTTCTGGTCTCTCTCTGGTCTCTCTCTGGTCTCTCTCTGGTCTCTCTCTGGTCTCTCTCTGGTCTCTCTCTGGCCTCTCTCTGGTCTCTCTCTGGTCTCTTTCTGCTCTTGCTCTGCTCTCTCTCGGCTCTCTCTCTCTGCTCTCTCTCTGGTCTCTCTCTCTGGTCCCTCAGCTCCAGTGGGATCAAAAAGACACAGTGGTTTTAAGGTGATTGTCTTTTAGTTTATAATGGTAAATGTGAGTTACTGTAACTATAGTCAAAGAGGCTTCAGCAGGTGATCTATAGACTCACACTTTACTGACCTGGACACAGAAGCAACAAAAAAACTTGAATGAAAAAGTTAAAAATATCCAGTTTACAGAGATGGAATATGAATTGGCGACAGCAGCTGTGGTGTATAGGATATGAAAGGTACAGATGTGTGCATAACCATAATAAGTGTGGCATCCTGGTCCCTGCCCACAGCGGTTCTCTCCTTTCTGCTCGTGATGGTCTGTGATTGGACGACAGCTTCCAGATCTGTGCAGTGTGAGCCGTCGCTGCTGAATACGCTGAAGATCGGGAGACTCGCGCAAAAGGAGACTGTGGACGCCATAAAAAACTACGTAAGTCTGAGGCTCATATCCGCACAGGAGCTGTTGGTGCATAGGAGCGGGATGAGTGAGACTATAGACCCAGGACTGAGGCTGTAGATCCAGGACTGAGACTGTGGACCCAGGACTGAGGCTGTAGATCCAGGACTGAGACTGTGGACCCAGGACTGAGGCTGTAGACCCAGGACTGAGACTGTGGACCCAGGACTGAGGCTGTAGACCCAGGACTGAGGCTGTAGATCCAGGACTGAGGCTGTAGATCCAGGACTGAGGCTGTAGACCCAGGACTGAGGCTGTAGACCCAGGACTGAGGCTGTAGATCCAGGACTGCAGATTGCTTCCACTGCGACCTGGCAAGGAAAAAAGCATAAGAGAAGATGGATAATAACATCAATGTATAGATTTTATGTCAATCTAACAGCCTCAGTCCTGGATCTACGGTCTCAGTCTTGGATTTACAGCCTCAGTTCTCGGTCCACAGCCTCAGTCCTGGGTCTACAGCCTCAGTCCTGGATCTACAGCCTCAGTCCCGCTCTCTATAAACCAATGTCTCCCATGTGTTTGTTATTATGTGTTCGAACTTCCCGCTGCCAAATGCCGCCACCAAGTGCCTAGGTCCCGGGGGATTGGCACGCTCCATCGCAGGAGGCCCTCCGATCTGAAGGCCGCACCGGGGCCTAGGGCGCCAAACCTCCTCCCAATAAAATACTCAAAAGCTTCTTGTCTTCTCGTCTCTCCAAATTGAATTGTTTTACTCATGGTCTGAGAGTCCTTCAGGTGCCTTTTGGCAAACTCCAAACTAAGGAGCGGTTTCCGTCGGGCCACTCTACCATACAGGCCTGATTTGTGGATTGCTGCAGAGATGGTTGTCCTTCTGGACGCTGGAACTCTGACAAAGTGACCATCGGGTTCTTAGTCACCTCCCTGACTAAGGCCCTTCTCCCCCGATCGCTCAGTTTAGAGGCCGGCCAGCTCTAGGAAGAGTCCTGGTGGTTCCAAACTTTTTCCATTTACGGATGATGGAGAACACTGTGCTCATTGGGACCTTCAAAAGCAAATTTTGGGTCTCCTTGTTTTTTTAGCCAACATGACTACCAACAATTACCAACAATACCAACAAATACCAACAAACACCAACAAGTACAAATAAATACCGACAAATACCGACAAATACCAACAATACCAACAATACCAACAATACCAACAATACCGACAAATACAGTACCATCAAACACCAGCAATGGTAAGGAAACAGTGGTGCAGATTGTAAGTAACAAGAACAAAGCCGCCTGTGTTTGGATCCAGTGCTTTTCACTCGAGCTCATATAAAAAAGCAGTATTTTCAAACCCCTCGACTTTTACTGATTTCCATCCGGTCGAACGAAGGTGTGTAATGATGTCATGAGGGAGAGGAGGTTCTGCCGGAGGGCCCTCAGAGACACGCTCAGAGACGAAGAGTGGGGACCGAGGAAAAACTGCAGCGACCACAGAAAACACAATAAACTCTTTCTGAGGATTCTAAACAATGAGTTTTAATTAAAGTCCAGGACAAAGACGAGAGAGACAAAGACGAGAGAGACAAAGAGGAGGAGGAAGAGGACGATAAATCACCAGAGAGACCACGAGAGAGAATCAGATTAGATCAAATCTGTTCAACACAAAGTCACAAAGACAAGGTTTGTGACGAAAAACAACACGACGAAAACAGCCACGAGTTAAAGCTTCAGGTGCGATAGTCTCTCTCTCTGGTCTCTCTCTCTGGTCTCTCTCTGGTCTCTCTCTGGTCTCTCTCTGGTCTCGCTGGTCTCGCTGGTCTCTCTCTGGTCTCTCTCTGGTCTCTCTGGTCTCTCTCTGGTCTCTCTCTGGTCTCTCTCTGGTCTCTCTCTGGTCTCTCTCTGGTCTCTCTCTGGTCTCTCTCTGGTCTCTCTCTGGTCTCTCTGGTCTCTCTCTGGTCTCTCTGGTCTCTCTCTGGTCTCTCTCTGGTCTCTCTCTTGTCTCTCTCTCTGGACTCTCTCTCTGGTCTCTGGTCTCCATCTGGTCTCTCTTTTGTCTCACACTTGTCTCTCTCTGGTCTCTCTCTCGTATCTCTTGGGTCTTTCTCTTTTCTCGCTCCCTGGGCTCCCTCTGCTCTTTCTCTGCTCTCTCTCTCTGGTCTCCCTTTGGTCTCTCTGCTCTCTTCTTCTCTCTCTCTGGTCTGGTCTCTCTCTCCCTTCTCTCTGGTCTCTATCTCTTCTCTCTCTCCCTCCTCTCCTCTCCCTGCTCTCTCACTGGTCTCTCTCAGCTCTCTCCTCTCTCTCTTCTCTCTCTCCTCTCTCTCTGGTCTCTCTCTTGTCTGGTCTCTCTCTGGTCTCCCTCTGCTTTCTCTCCTCTCTGTCTGGTCTCTCTCTGGTCTTCCTCTGATCTCTCTCCTCTCTCTCTGGTCTCTGTCCTCTCTCTCTGGTCTCTCTCAGCTCTCTCCTCACGCTGCTCTCTCCTCTCTCTCTCTTCTCTCACTCTGATCTCTCTAATGTGTTGTGTCCAGACTCCACGTCACTTTCTAAAACCAATTTCATGCACATTTAGCAGACCTCTCTCTTGTGAATAGTTAGAATTCGACACATGCAGATTTGTTCAGAGTCCATACGAGTCCCCGGCAACATCCCATTAGAGCTGACACTGAACCCGCTCAGAGGGCGCCGGGCTCTCCCTGTTCGGCTCTAATGAGACCGAGAGGATTCCAGCGGCACGAGAGGCTTATCCTGTCACAGACCCAGCAGGAGGGAGACGGAGACTAATAGGGCACTGTCGGGTTTCCGAAATGTGCTAAAAAATAGCTCCGATGACTGCGCATGTTTCAGACAAACATTGTGTACGACTCCGTTGAGTACTACTGTGTTCTCCACATACGCGTGTGTATTTACTTGGGCTAAATCATTGAATCATGGTGACAACAAAACACTGCAGTTATGGTGCTTGTCGGAGCGATTTCAGATACTCTGAAAAGGACTATATGAAAGCAGTAACATTCAACCATTCGTTAAACCACACCATCGGACCAGACCAGGACCAGAACAGGACCAGATCAGACCAGGACCAGACCAGGACCGGATCAGACCAGGACCAGACCAGGACAAGTGCAAGAGGTGGGTCCGTGCTTCTGGTCGGCAGAATTTCTCTCATGAAAATTTTGGAAAGGACACATGTTTGTTCAAAACACTTCCTCTGTGAAGCTGGACCAACTGTGGAGTATCCAGATCCAGTCCTAGCTACATTTAGCTGGGACTGGACCTTGACCGCTGTATCAGGTCCGTCTGAGCTCTTCTGAATGTAGTTAGCACAAACAGTGAGGCTAGCTAACCTACTTCACAAAAGCAATCGCTTTTTGTGGCATTAAACAGTATTTTTTTCATGAAAAATGTTGTCTTGAAAACCTTAACAAATAACTCTGAAAACCTCCGTGCACGTGCACACGAATGTATGTATGATATATTCTCTGATTACACATTTAAATGTGTTGATTGATTGTCCTTTGCGTTTATTGAGTGTAGCTCCGATAGTTTATCTCAGAGACAGTAGTGGCGTAGCCCGTTGTGACCCATGGATCTATGATAATATCGGCTGACAGTAGCTAACTAATGATCAAACTAATTACAAAGTGGATAGTACATAACAAAACTTGATAAATGAAAGTTAATCAGAGCAAAACAAACAAAGAAGGCGCTAGTTTTGCATTTTAATCCTCACCATTACCTTTTTATCAACTCAAACTTTCTACCAGTTACAGACCACGACATTCAAGCCAACGCTTTAATTCTACACTATGATCCTTGATGGTTTGATGGTGGAATTTTGCTCCTGGTATATCATTTTTGTCTAAAGTGGCAAGTGGTATTTGATTCAATTCGGCAGTGTTTGTCCGAAACATGTGAGCGGGAGTTGACACGCGGCGGGGGCGTGTCTTAGTGACGTCATTCAGATAGTTCGCTATGCCTCAGTCCTGGGTCTACAGCCTCAGTCCTGGGTCTACAGCCTTAGTCCTGGGTCTACAGCCTCAGTCCTGGGTCTACAGCCTCAGTCCTGGGTCTACAGCCTCAGTCCTGGGTCTACAGCCTCAGTCCTGGGTCTACAGCCTCAGTCCTGGGTCTACAGCATCAGTCCTTGGTCTACAGCCTCAGTCCTGGGTCTACAGCCTCAGTCCTGGGTCTACAGCCTCAGTCCTGGGTCTGCAGCCTCAGACTCTCTCTTCTTTTCTCTGGAAAACGTCTTCACAGGACGTTCCAAAAGTGGCTCTTGGTCCAACGCTTCGTTCCAGATCCTGTTGATGCTGAGAGTATATTCTGTTGGACCAGTCTAGTTTAGCCGCTGTGGACTTCAAAAAGCACTTGTTAAATGAATGAGGTTAGAGCAGCTAGCCCCATGCCCCGCGGCCATTTTGGAAAAAGCCACAGAAGGCAAAAGTGAGTTTTCAACTGTGGAGATCAGCGTGACTACATCTATTTAAAGTCTATGATACACACATACTATAATGAACATGCAGTAGACATTCTCTCCATCCATCCCTCCTGACCAGACCAGACCAGACCAGACCAGCCTAGACCAGACCAAACCGATAGACCGACAGATGCTTCACCCTGAGGCAGAATCTCCAAACCCAGTGTGAACATGTGGAGAGTCCAACCTGCTGTTTCCAAACACAATCATTCTGTCTGGAGCCATTAGCTGTGATTTATGTTTAGACCAGAGAGACCAGAGAGACCAGAGAGAGAGACCAGAGAGAGACCAGAGAGAGACCAGATAGACCAGCGAGAGACCAGAGAGAGAGACCAGAGAGACCAGAGAGACCAGAGAGAGACAGGAGAGAGACCAGAGAGAGACCAGAGAGAGACCAGAGAGACCAGAGAGAGACCAGAGAGAGGCCAGAGAGAGACCAGAGAGACCAGAGAGAGACCAGAGAGAGACCAGAGAGACCAGAGAGAGACCAGAGAGAGACCAGAGAGACCAGCGAGACCAGAGAGAGATCAGAGAGAGACCAG